TGGCTCCTGCGTAGATCTCAGCCTCACAACTGGAGCCGAGAATAGAAGACGAGCGAGTAGCCCGCCACGAAACAGAGCCGGAACCAAGGCTGAAGGTGTAACCCTGTGACGACCGCTGCGTAGCCTGGTCGTCAGCCCAAGAAGCGTCTGCGTGCCCAGTAAGGACCACTGGACTCTGCCCTCCAAGCACAAGCCCCATGCCCGACGTACTGCACAAGTAGCGCAACACCCTCTTCGCTGCAACCATGTGCTCCGGTCTGTGTCTCCCAGGAGCAACATAGCGTGCAAGAATGCTAAGAGGGTATGCAAGGTCAGGTCGTGTGCAGGTCATCAGGTACATGAGGCAGCCAACAAGCTCTGGGTACGGGCCACTCGACTCTACGGACTCATCCGAAGGCAGAGCTGAGAGCGAGTGGCGAGTAGGCAGAGGAGTGGCCTGAGGCGAGGAGTACGTGAAGCCGAAGCGCTGAAGGACCTGCTGCACCATGTGTGACTGAGTCAGGGTAATGGTGCGGCGTGCTCTGTCCCGAGTGATCTGCAAGCCAAGGTAGCTGCGCAGTTCACCCAGGTCAGTGCACGTGTGTCTCTTCTGCAGCTCGGACTTCACGTGGGCTAGTCCAGCAGTGTCAGCTGTGGCAAAGACCAAGTCGTCGACGTACACGAGGATGTAGAACGGCGGCAAAGAAGTGTCGGTGCGCAGAAACAACGACGGGTCGGCAGTAGAGGGAGCAAACCCAAGAGCCGCAAGTGTAGTCCTCAGTGTGTCGTGCCACTCACGCGGTGCCTGGCGGAGACCGTAGACTGGCCGCCGTAGGCTCCACTGGGTGCCAGGAGGAAAAGACCCAGTGAAGCCAGGTGGGCGACGCAGCCAGATCTCCTCGTGCAGGCTGCCCTGCAAGAAAGCAGTGCTGAAGTCAAGAGAGTGTAGCTCGTAGTCACGGTGAGCAGCTACGTGCAGCAGTACCCGAAGAGTGGTCATCTTTGGGGTGGGAGAGAAGGTCTGAAAGTAGTCAACTCCCTGCCGCTGACTGAAGCCACGAGCCACGTAACGCGCCTTGAAGACAGGCGGAGAACCCGGCGGTCCTCTGATACCATGTAAATTAAGAAAAACAGGAATGGGAATGACTAAGTGAAAGTTGGGTACAAGAAGCAAACCCTAGAAAACTGTACCCCATATGTGCTACCCCACTCTAGCCTACAGTAGCTATGTCATATAAATCTGACATTTCGGGCATCAGCACCGACGGAGCGTCGGTGATGATGGGCAGTAATGCCAAACTGGTGGTTCGCCTGCGACAGCGGATTCCCCACCTCGTCTCGTGTCACTGCATCGCCCATAGGTTAGTGCCGCTTTGCATTCACCGCATTCATTGGATTTTTTATGCTCGGTCAACTGATTCTTTTTATTTCGTTTAATGCAGGGAAGCCCTCGCCGCTAAGGATGCGGCGGAAGATCTACCAGTCTTCAACATGGTAGACGATCTAATCCGTGTGGTGTCGGACCTGCTGGGCCGTTCCGGCCCGAAACACCAGCGCTTCATGGACCTCCAGGAGCTCTTCACCGAGACGAGCCTGGAGGTCCAGGGGATACATAGCGTCCGGTGGCTCTCTCGGGGGGATGCGTTGCTTCGCATCCTGGCAGTGTGGCCTGCTGTCATTGTGTTCCTGCAAGAGTTTCATTCCGCAATGTTTTTGCTCGCCACTTCCTACCGTTTCCACTTCTTCATGTACTTTCTTGCGGATGTTCTTGAGCAGTTGAACATTCTGAACAGGGCGTTCCAGCAGCGCCAGGCATGTTTGAGTGTGTATTTCCATGCCTTCGCTTGTTATTACTTGTTTGTACACGCCGCTGACAGTCTTCCCTTTCTGACCGATGCCTGCAGCTGGACCTTGTCTCGCTGCACGGTCAGATCAAGCGCACGACAACACATATCGAGAGCCGATATGTGGATTGTGGGGACGACTTTGGCGGAGGCTTCAGTCGCTGGCTGTCGCCATTCATCGAGCGTTACAGCCCCGGAAAGGACCGTGAGGTGACAGTGGAGGGGCCCGACTCGATGGGCGACCAACAACATTCAAGTTCACGCTCCACGAGGACAAGGTCAAAGGCTACGAAGGCCCGTGTGATCACGACGCCTGTGTGGAGGCCTGCACCGACTTCGCCGAGCGCATCGTGGCGAACCTGGAGAGTCGGCTGAGTGACTTGGACTCGTTGTCGGGAGTCCGACTGTTCCTGCCGGATGAGTGGCCGAAGAGCAAGTTGGAGCGTCACGCACGATGCGTTGAGTGGCTGCAGTCACTGGTGACGCTGTTCAAGGCAGAGCAGGCAGAAGACATACTGCCAGGTGGAGTTGTGTTTTCTGTTTGTTTCAATGCCATCGTATTGTTTCTCTTTACAGCCAATACACCTCCTTCCCGTTTGCTTAAGTCATCACTAAGCCCCGTCTTGCATTGTTTCCTCCCCCTCCACTTGTTGCCATGCCAGGTATCAAGAAGCGGCAGGCCCACAAAGAGCTGCGACTGTTCTGCTCCGTCCGTGCCTCTGCACCGAAGGGGGAGAGGTCTTTCCACGATGGCCTCACGGCGATTTTGAAGACTCCTGACTGGCGGGAGAGTTACCCCAACCTGGTGCTGTTGTGGGTAGCAGTGGCGGTGATTCCCCTTAGCACTGTGGAGTGCGAAAGGGGCTTCTCTCGCCAGAACGTGATCAAGTCCTGGCAGCGGAGCAGCCTCAAAGATGCACGGCTGGGAGACCTGATGTGCATGTCTCTGATGTCGTACGAGCCACGGTTCGACGAGGTGGTCGACATTTGGAGAAGCTACAAGAAGAGAAAGCCGTTCACTAATTCCTCTATTTCCACCCCAGGGGAAACCAGCAAGAAGGGTAGAGCGACAGCTATGGAAGTAGATGAACCCCATGCTGTAGAAGATGTAGGCTCTAGTGATAGTGAGGATGAAGAAGATGACGAGGATGATGATGATCTTGATAGTTAATTGTAATTCTTACAAGATATGAGTGGATCAGACTTCACCGCAAAACGACGCTGATCGTTCAGCTTTTTTTCTCCTAGACACCCTGGAAAATCAGTTTTTTTTTTACCAACTCCACTGACCACTCAGCCATGAATCTATTCCTAAGGATGACTAGTCAGCCTACGCCAAAACGAATCTGAGGGCCTGATCGCCATCCCCCTTTTTTCAAAGGCCCTGTTCTACAGGCAAGTGTTTCCATGGCGAGAATTCTCGTGGGTGCTTCAGTCGACTGTCAATTTAGGTTCGATGGCAGGGTCAGCCCGAAAAAGGCTGTCAAATCTGTTCGTTTCCGTCCGAGCCAAACGGAAACACGTTACCGCAGAACAGATCTGGTGTGGATACGGAAACAACGGAATGGAAGGTGAGTCCCCACCTTCCATCCCTGGCAATATTAGTTTCCGTTTCCACGCCAAGTGAAACCTCCTTTTCATGGGAGGCACAGTGGCGTCGAAACAGAAAAATGTTTCTAGGGACAACCTTTTCTTTGCCCCTGAAATGCATATTTACATGTTCATTCGTACTCGATTTAGAAGGTGCCACTCGTTTCGGACATTGGTACTAGCCCAACTCACTCGAGGGTTTGATTGTGACTTAGCTTCTGTCGATCTAGTTTTCTATTTACATGGTAGACCTTTAAACCGGGAATTATCTAGGGTACTACACTCTTAAACAATACAGAAGGAGGGACTCTCGCTTCCTCCTCTTTGACACGAAACTCCAGACAGAGACTGCGGAGGTTTCCTGAATTGGTTGAGCGTGACGAGGCAAAGAAGAAAAAACCACGAGGGTTTCTTTGTTTCCGTTTCCACGCTGTGCCCGTCTACCTGTAGAACAAGGCCAAAGGACAGCGATGGCACAGCGATTGCATTGCTGTTCAAAGCCCTTGGGGGGAAGGTGGGGATGGAGGTTCCCGATGCGGTTGCCTAATTTCGCTTTTCGAGTGCAAAAGTTTCTCGAGTGGCATTACGCCCAAACCTCGGAGGTGGGTTCCACCTCCGTTTCCAGATGCGATCGCGATGCCGATGCCATCTTTTTCATTCAAAACTTCGATTTGCTGGCGAACAGCACCCTGAACGTCTGCAAGCACATAGATCAAGTTCAAGCGGCACGCGGTGGGGCAAGAAACTGGGGCCATCTGCCAATCAAATTAGGGATCGTACTGCAGCAATGCCCTGCCAGGAACTGCACGCAATCGCCACCCAACTCGACCTGGAGAGGAGATGCCATCTCAAGGGCACCCCCTCTGTTTCAAGCTGCACGAACAAGCTGGCCAACTGGCGGGAGAATTCGCGTAATGATGGCTCGTTAGGAAACTCGCTACAATCTTAGGTATTACAAAAAGGAGAATGATTCACCTTAGGCTTGTAAAAACATATTGCATCAACAACAGGCCCTCAGATTCACTTTAAGGGACGTTGATGCATCAGGGTCCCTGTGAACAAAACCCTGATTTTCAGTGTTCCTAAAAAAAAACCCTGAATTTTCAGGGTTCCTAAAAAACAAAGCCTGAATTTTCAAGCAAATGAAAACCTTGTATACAAGGGTAGGCTTTACGAAACATGACAGCGGAGGGATTCGAACCGGGCCTTTACCCATCTGTAGAAAATCACAAACCACCGAGACAGTTGATCCACTAAACCTTCAATCTCTTACGTTGTCGTACGTGAAAAATCAGAAAATGTTGGTTGACAGGAAGGATTCGGAATGTGCATTCAGTGTACACTTCGATAAAAGACTGAAAAATCAGTGTCAACTATGAAATAAAGGCTGAAAAATCAGTGTCACAAAATTCTCAACACTGAAAAATCAGTGTAGGTACAAAAAAATCCCTGAAAATCAGGAATTTCAGGAAAAAATTCCTGATATCGTAGGGCCTGATCAACAATGGCATAAAGCAATGCCAGGTTGCAGCACATGCTAATCCTACACCTACTCATTCTTCCGCAACACCCGTCACAGGACTCCAATCATCCCCACAGCGGCGAGCGCACAGTCATGTTCCTGTACTCTGCAAAGACCTGCCACGTGGGGTCGGTGGCGGTGCCAGGGTCCCTGTTGCCCGCCCAGCAGCCGCCACAGATGCCACTGGCGTCCCACACGCTGGCGTAGAGGAAGGAGGGCTTGGAGGGGTACGGCGCGCCGTCTATGGCGGTGGTGTTGAGGAGCACCCGCACTGGGACAAAGTCAATGTACCAGCTGAGAGGGGGAATGGGGGAAAAAGAAGGAGGGGGGGGGGGGAGGGGGGGGGGGGGGGGGGGAGCATACGGGAGAGAGGGAGGGGGGGGGGCAATAAGAACAGGATGCCGGCGCACCGACATTCCACCCCGATGTACAGAATCGATGTCGGTGCGCCCCGCCCCAGGCTACCCTATGCCAGCTGGCCTTTGAGAGTTATCATAACCCACCCAGCCCAGGCAACCCTATGCCATGCTGCGCCCAGTAGGGTGCATAGTTGTGAAACGCAGCGGAGCAGTCGCGGCCCAGCCAGGCTACCCAATACCACCCCCACCCCTCCCCCCCTCTCCGTCAGCACTTACATGAGCTGCTTGTTGGTCCAGTACAGCGCGTAGTTATGGAACGCGGCAGAGCAGTCGTGGCCGAGGGTGATGAGCTTTTCGTTGCCGCCCACCCCTTGCACGTAGTAGTTGGTCTGCACGACCGTGTTGTTCTTGCCCAGCCACTCAAAGTCGATCTCGTCCTGCACCTTGCTGCCCTCCTGCGATGATAACTGCGGGGTTCAAACACGGACGGAAGGCGGAGGAGGGGTGGGGGGAAGGGGGAGAAAGGGGAAGGGGGAGAAAGGGGAAGGGGGAGAAAGGGGAGAAAGGGGAAGGGGGAGAAAGGGGAAGGGGGAGAAAGGGGAAGGGGGAGAAAGGGGAAGGGGGAGAAAGGGGAAGGGGGGGAAAGGGGAAGGGGGAGAAAGGGGAAGGGGGAGAAAGGGGAAGGGGGAGAAAGGGGAAGGGGGAGAAAGGGGAAGGGGGAGAAAGGGGAAGGGGGAGAAAGGGGAAGGGGGAGAAAGGGGAAGGGGGAGAAAGGGGAAGGGGGGAGGTGGGAGGTGGGAGGGGGGGAAGTGAGGAAGGGGAGGGAGGAGGGAAGGGAACCACGGCTCAGGAATGAGAGGGCCAGAGGGAGAGGCAGTGGAGCGGAGCGGTCGTGGCCGAGGGTGATGAGCTTTTCGTTGCCGCCCACCCCTTGCACGTAGAAGTTGGTCTGCACGACCGTGTTGTTCTTGCCCAGCCACTCAAAGTCGATCTCATCCTGCACCTTGCTGCCCTCCTGCGATGATAACTGTCGGATGGTTTCGGAGAGGGGGAGCTCTTGACAGTTCTAAAGTGTGTGGTTGCTTGCACCTAAGGAATGCCAGTTCTTCGAGAGCTCTCTCTAACACACACACACACACACACACAAACACAGAAACAAACAAACACAGAAACAAACAAACACACAAGCAAACAATCAAACAAACATCTGACAAGGAAACAAACCAACAACTTGCACCCTGACAAGGCAGCAGAACACCCAGACAGAGAAACCACGCGCTCAAAGGACTTTTGCGGCATCTCAAGAGCGCCCAGGCAGGCCGCTGGACTCACATAGAAGCTGGAGACGAGGCCGCTGCCCTTCCCCTCCGCTTGACCTGCCTAGACCTGCCTGTAGCAGTGACGTAAAGCAGCACACCAACTCTAAGAGCAGAAGGGCGGCTAGAGACTCAAGAGAGGGACTCACGTAGAAGCTGGAGACGAGGCCGCTGCCCTTCCCCTGCGGGCACCGATAGTCCACACTGAAGAACCCAAAGCTGTTTGGCAGGGACGAGCGGAAGCGAGAACCTGTGGTGGAGTGCGGTGGAGTGTGGTGGGGTGGGGTGGGAGAGAAAAGGGAGGAGACAGATTAGCAGTGTGCGGGCACTGATAGTCCACACTGAAGAACCCAAAGCTGTTGGGCAGGGACGAGTGGAAACGGGACCCTGCGGTGGGAAAGGGTGGGGTGGGATGCGGTGGGAAAGATGGGGGTTGGGGTGGAAAGGTTAGGAGTGTGCAGTGCAGGAAATGGTAGTCCACACTGAAGAACCCAAAGCTGTTGGGCAGGGACGAGCGGAAGCACGAGCCTGCGGTGGGGTGTGGTGGGGTGAGGTGTGGTGGGGTGAGGTGTGGTGGGAGAGATTAGGAGTGTGCTAGAAGCTGCAGTCCACACTGAAGAGGGGGCGGACGGGTAGGGTAGGGTAGTAGGGTAGAGGAAAGGACTGGCAGCAGCCGAGAGAAAAGCACTTTCATGGCGTGCCAGCTGCTGCTGCTGCTGCTGCTGCTGCTGCTGCTGTCGAAAAAGAAACTTTGTATCACTTGAAATCATTCTGAAAAGGGCAGAACCCCACAACCCCCATACCCCTCTGTCCCCTTGCCGACAAGAGCACAGCACAGCACAGCACAATCCCCACATCCCTCCCTCTCCCTTCCAGCCCACCGCAACTGTTGTCCATCTTGATCGTGGCACTGCCGTCCGTGCTGCTGCTGCACCCCACGCAGTGGCCATCACAAGCAAGCCGACCAGCGCACAGCACAGCACAGCACACCACAGCACAGCACAGCACAGCACAACACAGCAAAGCACAATCACCACAGCACACCACAGCACAGCACAGCACAACACAGCACAGCACAATCACCACAGCACACCACAGCACAGCACAGCACAACACAGCACAGCACAATCACCACAGCACACCACAGCACAGCACAGCACAACACAGCACAGCACAATCACCACAGCACACCACAGCACAGCACAGCACAACACAGCACACCACAGCACCCACCCAGCCCCACAACCCCCCACGGCTCTCTTCTTGTGCTCACCACAGCACAGGAGTTGTCCAGAGCACAGCGCAATCCCAACACACCCACAACAGCCCGAAAAGCCCCAACAGCCGCAACAGTCCCCGTGTCCCCCCTTCTCCCTCCCAACGCACCACAGGAGTTGTCCATCTTGATCGAGGCGCTGCCGTCCGTGCTGCTGCTGCTGCTGCTGCTGCTGCTGCTGCTGCTGCTGCTGCTGCACCCAATGCAGTGGTCATCGCAATAATCCACCGCCAGAGCCGTCAGCGTCACCTTCCCTCCCCCGCCCCCACAGCACAGCACAACCCCAACTCACCACAGCTATTGTCCATCTTGATGGTTGCACTCCCGTCCGTGCTGCTGCTGCACCCAATGCAGTGGTCGTCGCAGTAATCCACCGCCAGGGGCGTCAGCGTCGCCGGCGCTATGCTTGCGGGGTACGTTGCGGGGGGAGGTGGCGAGGGGTTTGATGGCTGCCCCACCTCCGCCATCAGAGGGGAAATCACCGTGATGCCTGGGGGAGGAGGGCGAAGGGGGGGAGGGCGAAGGGGGGGGGGAACGGAAAAGGGTTTAGCAGGGTATGTTGCAGGGGCAGGGGCAGGGGGCGACGGGTTGGATGGTTGCCCCACCTCCGCCATCAGGGGGGAAATCAACCCTCCAACCATGCACTGCACGCACCAGCCCCTTCCCAACCCTCGCCTACCCTTTCACAATCAAAACCAGAACCTCCCCCACTCCACCCCACTCCACCCCACTCCACCCCACTCCACCCTGCTCCACAGCACGCAACGCACCAGTCCAGGCGGCAGTGTCGACGGTGGTGCTGGGATGAGAGTATACGCGCCGGCGTATCGCTGCATGGTGGTGCCCTGCCCACCGCACGCCCCAGACCTTATATTGAAATCACTTTTGAGAGCTCTCTCAGAAGTGATTTCAACGCGCCGGCGTATCGCTCCATGGTGGTGCCCTGCCCACCGCACCCCCCAGCCCTTTCCCAACCCTCTCTCACCCTTCCCCAATCAAACCAGAGCCTCCCAACGGAACGCACCAGTCCAAGCAGCAGTGTAAACGGTGGTGCTGGGGGTATACGCGCCGGCGTATCGCTCCATGGTCGTTCCAGCAGCAGCAGCGGCGAGCGTGCCGTATAAGAACATGGGGCGGAACGGGTACGGCTGCCCCTCCTTCTTCCTCCCTACAGGCTACACCTCCCTTCGTCCAGCCAACCAGCATCCTCTCATCAGCAAACCCTTTCCCCAGCCGGGCCAGCCCCCTCACTCCATGAACCCCACACCACCACACACCACCACACACCACCACACGCCCCACCCCACTCCACCTCACCCCACGCACCAGTCCAAGCAGCAGTATAGACGGTGGTGCTGGGGGTATACGCGCCGGCGTATCGCTCCATGCTGGTGCCGGCAGCAGCGGCGAGCGTGCCGTACAGGAACATGGGGCGGAACGGGTACGGCTGCCCCTGCTGCTTCACTAGAGCTCGCGCCAGCTTGCCGTCAACGTACCACCTGGTGGGGGTTGGAGATTGGGGATAGCATGTGTGTGGTGTGTGTAGGGAGTTGAGAGCAGGAGGAACATGGGGCAGTATGGGTACGGCTGGCTGCCCCTGCTGCTTCACCATACCACCTGAGGAGGGTTCAAGAACAGGCGGGGTGGGGAACATCGAAATAAGGGTGGGTGGAGAAGATCGAGAAAGGATTGGGGGTTCAACTCAACATATTCCAACAGGCCTTCACAAATGCAATGCAATTCCACAAAAACCTCCAACCGGCCAACACCTCCCCCTTTTCACCCCAACACAACACCTTCCTCCCCGCCTTCCCCACAAAAACCTCCATTCACCTCGGCATGGTTGGCTTGGCGTCCCAGTGAATGGAGAACAGAACACCAACACGTGGGGGGGGGGCCTTGAGTTTTGCTGGCTCGCACACAACACAACACAACACAACACCCTCCCTCCCACCAGCCTCACAAGCCCCCAACCCCCCAAATCCTCCCCCTTTTCCCCCCAACGCACGCGCGCAGCATAGTTGGCGTCCCATAGATGGAGAACACATGGGGGGCGTGCCTTACGTCATACAGGCTAGCCCACAACACCCCCCCCCCCCCCCCCCCCCCCAAAAAAAAACACTCTTCCCCCAATTGCACAAGCCCCCAACCCCCCAATCCCCCATTTCCCCCTTCCCCCAACGCACGCAGCATAGTTGGCATCCCAGTAGATGGTGAAAACGTGGGGGGGGGCCTCCGCGCAGTGGAAGCACAAACCCCCAGCTACACAAGACGCACAACCGAGCTGACTTGTGAGTCGACTCAAAAGTCCCTCCGCGCAGTGGTAGCACAAAGTTACAACCCCCCACCCCAGCTACACAAGACGCACAAGCTGTTCATCACCCAATTCCCCTCCGCCCTCTCCCCACTATAAACCCCCCGACCCCCCCAGCCCCGCCCTCCCCCTTCCCCCCCCCCCCCCCCCCCACAACGCACGCAGCATAGTTGGCGTCCCAGAAGATGGTGAACACATGTCGGGGGCCTCGAGGTAATGTAGATAGCACCAAAACCGTCCCCCCAACACCCTCCCCCCAACATTTCCCCCCTCAATACTCCCCCAACGCACGCAGCATAGTTGGCGTCCCAGTAGATGGTGAACACGTGCGGGGCCTCCGCGCAGTGGAACCCCAGGCTGATTTTCTGGGGGTAAACCACCCCGTTCACGTGGTACGTGGCCAGGGCCGTCGTCTTGTTGTTGCCCACAAAGTCCCACCCCAGGCCTGAGTTGGCGCCTATGCGCGCGCTCGAGTCCAGCTGGTAGCAGTGGTAGAAAGGAGCACGACAAATAAGAGAGATGGGATAGTTGAGTGAGTGAGTGAGTGAGTGAGTGAGTGAGTGCCCACAAAGTCCCACCCCAGGCCTGAGTTAGCGCCGATTTGCGCGCTCGAGTCCAGCTGGTGGTGTTACAGGGGGAGAGGGGGGCACGGGGAGAGTGGAAAAAGGGGAGAGAGGCACATCACATAAGGCACAAAGTCCCACCCCAGGCCTGAGTTGGCGCCTATGCGCGCAATAGAGTCGAGTCCACCTGGTAGCAGGGGTAGATTTTTTTAGTCGACTCAAAAATAGTCCCACCCCAGGCCTGAGCCTATGCGCGCACTAGAGTCAAGTCCAGCTGGTAGCAGGGGTAGAAAGGAACATGGCAAATAAGAGATGGGATAGGTGAGTTGGTGAGCAACCACAACCACAAAGTGAGACAACCACAAAGTCCCACCCTAGGCCTGAATTGGCGCCTATGCTTTCGCTAAAGTCCAGCTGATGGTGTTACAGGGGTATATGGGGAGAGGAGCGAGGGAACGAGTGTGGGAGCAAGGAAGCAAGGGAGCGAGTGAGAGAGCGAGTGAGCGAGTGAGAGAGCGAGTGAGTGAGCGAATGGGTGAGTGAGTGGATTAGTTAGTACATCCCAGCCTTGGCGATTAAGAACAAAGTCTCACCCCAGCCTTGCGTGAATGAGTGAGAAAGTAGGCACAAAGGAGAGGGAGAGCAGGGCTGGATTCATGTAGAAAGAAGGAGCACACACAAGAGGGAAGGAGCACTCGACAAGAGGTGTCAGCTGGGCAGGGGAGCAGCACACACACAAGGGGGAAGGGGAGGAGCAGGAGACTCACATAAAAAGAGTACATAAGGCCAGAGGTGTCGGCGGAGGAGCACTGCATGGACGCACGGAACACGCCCGATGTGAACTGCATTGACTGCCATCTGGACCCTGTTGTTAGACGAAAGGCGGGGAGCGGGAGGGAGAAGGGAAGAGGGAGTGGGAAGCAGGGAGAGGCGAGAGGAGAGACTTTTGAGAACTCGCAAAAGGGAGACCAGTGGAGGGGAAGGGACGGGAGGGGAGGGGAGGCGAGGGGAGGGGAGTGGGTGTAGTCAACGCACACAAAGAAGCACATGCATGTGCGATTGGAATGGACTCGCACGAAGCAGCGCGTGTCTGCATTTCGACACCCGAAACCAAACTCAGATCGGAACAGCAGCACCCTCCCGACAACAAAAGAAGTACATCTAGACATGTAAAAGGAGTACTCCTTTATAGTCAATCAGGATCTAAAAGGAGTACTCCTTTATAGTCAATCAGGATCTAAAAGGAGTACTCCTTTATAGTCAACCAGGATCTAAAAGGAGTACTCCTTTAAACTGCTCCACCCTCCCCCTCCCTCTCCTTTCCCTCTCCCATTCCCTCTACCCCCCGCCCTCACCTCTCCCGTTCCTCTCTTTCCCCCTCTTGCTCTCTCTCACCTCCAGTGTCGCTCTTGCTCTCTCTCACCTCCAGTATCGCTCTTGCTCTCTCTCACCTCCAGTGTCGCTCTTGTGTGTGATGGTAACCGAATTCCCAGACACAGCAGCATTATCCGCGTTATAGTCAATCAGGATCGAGTTCAGCGGCTTCCCCGCACTGAACATGCCATACCACGAGGGCGGGGCGGTGGGGGACGGGGGCGGAGGGGGAGGCGGAGACGGGGGCGCAGTGCCTAGAGTTCCGCCCAAACCCGTCCCCCCAGTGCCCCCACTCCCCCCGCTGCTCCCGCTGTCGCTACCACTGCTGCTGCCGCTGCTGCTGCCAGTGCTAGTGGGAGGGGGAGGGGGAGGGGCTTTCCTCTTGCGCTTCAGGAGGTTATTGAGGCGCTTCTGGAGCTGCTGGGTGAGGGACGAGACCAGAGAGGAGGAGGAGGGCGGTGGGGAGGAACGTAGCACCCTCTCTCTCCTCTCACTCATGCCATCGCCTTCAGTGATACCCTCTTCCTCTTTCTCCTCCTCCTCCCTGTCCTCCTGCTCCTGCTGCTTTTGCTGCTCCTCCTCCTCATCCACTGTAATTTGCATCTTTTCTACCTCCTCCTGCTTCTCCTCCTCCTCCTCCTCCTTCCCCTCCCCCGTCTCTCCCTCAACATCATCCTCCTCGTCCTCCTCTAGCCTCCTTCTCGTTACCTCGGCTCTCTCTAGAGCCAGCCGACCCTCTCTGAAACACAATCCAGCGCACACGGCCGGGAGAAGGGGGAGAACGGGTGAATGGGCGAATGGGTGAAGGGGAGAACTTTTGAAAATGCTCGAAATGGCGGAGAGAGAGAGAGAGAGAGAGAGAGAGAGAGAGAGAGAGAGAGAGAGAGAGAGAGAGAGAGAGAGAGAGAGAGAGATGTGAAGACAGGGAAGCTGGATTGCGAGGAGTATCCGACCCGACGGTTTCATCCCTCTATCTCCCTCCCCCACCCGTCTCCCCCACCAATCTCCCCCTCTGTCTCCCCCGATCCGTTTAAATCCCCCTATTTCCCTCCGATTCCTCCACTCCTCCCCGCCACCGTCTGTGCACGCGCTGCGAGGAGCATCCGACGTTTTCGACCTTCAGATCCCCCCACCCTCTTCCCACCCTCCCCCCACCCACCCTCCCCCCCTTTCTTCCCCACCACCGGCGCACGCACTGCGAGGAGCATCCGACGTTCTCGACCTTCACCGCGTCGATCGCGACGCCGTTCCCCGCGTCCACGTCAGCAGTGCCGTTCAGCGGACCCGCGCCGAACGTCAGCAGGCTCTCCGCGCTCGCTGCGCGGAACGCGAAGGACTTGCGCACCCAGTTGGTCGTCTGTTGCGGGCATAGGGGCAGGGGGAGGGGAGCGAAAGGGGGAGGAAGAGGGGGAGCGAGTGGGGGAGGGGAGGGGGGAAGCGGAGGCGGGGTGGGGGGTTGGGGTAAATAGGGAAGGGGGAATTGTGCAACGGACAGGAGGAGGGCTGTCTGGAAACGTGGAGTGGTTGATGCGGGGGAGGGGGAACGGGGGAGCATGTGGGGACGGAGGAAGCAGGGGGAACGGGGGGGCATGTGGGGACGGAGGGAGGGGTAAGTGTACACGTCGAAAAGAATCCGGGGAAGTGGACTGGAGGGGGTAGGATCCGCGTCGCCTCACCACCCTTTTAAGACTCACCATCTTTTCAGTGAACACGTCGAATAGCAGCTCAGCGCCAGTAGCGGCGTCGACCACGGTCAGAAGCACGGACGCCGGGTCGCCGAGCCGCAGCACCGGCGCGCGCATCGCGAACGACCCGCTATAGTCACAACCTGCTACCGTCTCTAGCGACTGGAAGATGGACCGCGCGGGAACCGCGGGAATCTGCACGCTATACCGAGGCGCGCTCTGTTCGCTCGGCATGCACGTGCCATTGGCGCTCCGCTGCGCTCCGCCCGCCGTTCCCCCGGTGGCTTCGCACTGGATATCCCCCGATACGCGGAGTAGATTAACTCCCCCTTTCGACGCCTTCCAGCCTGGCACCTCTTTCACACCGCGAACCACGCGGCCTAATCGCCCTCCGGAGCGCTTAATCAGGTCTTCTAGCGCGGCGCCCAGTTTGTCGAACCCGCCGTTGCGGAGCAGGGAGCCTGGGGGAGCGGACGAGGGGGAAGGGGGAGGGGGCGATGGGGGGAAGGAGATGGGAGGGAGAGGATAGGGGGAGAGGATGGGGGGGAAATGGAGAGGAGAGAACGGGGGGGAGCCGAAGAGGGGATGAGGAGTGGGGGGATGACAGGGGGAATGGGAAAGGGAAACGGGAAAGGGGATAGGGAAGGAGGAAGAGAATCGGAACTAGGGGTGGGGGAAGCGGGTAAGAGGGGGGGGAGGGGATTGGAGAGAGGGTGCGGATCGGCGGAGAGAGAACAAGGCGGGATGGAAGTGGGGGAAACGGCGGAAGAAACGGAAGCGACGGAAGTGGGAGGGGGCGGGGGGGGGGGGAGGAAAAGGGAGGGGGGAGGTGGTGGAAGAGTGGGGGTAAGGAGAGGGGGGGGTGCGGGGAGAGTGGGAAGGGGAGGTGCGAGGAGGGTGTGGGGATAGTTTAGAGACGTCTCAAAACTAGATTGTCGGGGGAGGGGGAGAGGTGGGCGTTATATGAACGAAGCCTTGGGACGCACGTACGTGAGAAGGGCTTCGCGGCGGACGCCGTTTGCGCACATAAGGCGGACGCAATCAGCGCTACTAGTAGCCATGCCCACGCGGCCTGTCATAACTTCGTTTCCGCGCTCCGCCTCAGCAGCTCCCGCGTTTCCACCGCCCCCGTAGCCGTAGCACTTGTTAGAATTCTCGAAACCGCGTACCTGGGACGCTTGCGAGGGTTCGCGTTATCGACTGACCAGCTGGCACGGCTAGGTCTGCCGTCAAGAATAAAAAGAATAAAAAAGTCCGTTCTTGGCCCGTTGCGACTCGGGTCAGCGGTCAGTTGTTAATTACCGTAAGAGGTGGCCCAGGTAGGGAGTCAGTAACTAATTCATTACACCACGCGCGAGTGGGGCCCACGGGCTGGTAAACTAGATAAATAATTAGCAATAAAAAGTTATCGATATGGACGGGAGGGAACTGACCAGAACCTCCGCTCTGGCTGTCTCAGATTGTTACTGAAGGATTTCACGAGTGTACGAGGCTCGACGAAAGAATCCTGGTTCAGTTCAAGTGCTGCTGAAGGCTTGCTTAGTGTGTCTCGCGGATTGAAAGCGCTCACTACTTGACTGAAACTGTGGGGGGCCCTACTACTTGCACCGCAGTTGGTGCGTAATCAGTGTGCCTGCCCGCGGAAGGACGGAACGATGGTGGAGCGGAGAAGGTAAGGCGACGATGATGACAGGGCGTAAGCTTTGCTATCTGCGCGTCAATATGCTGCTGGCTGCTTCTGGTCAGGAGCGAGACGTAAATAATGAATTAATCATTATCGATTGGCCCAGGACGAGACATGTAAATACACCAAGTCTCCAACCCATCGCTGCTGCGCTCCGCTGCGCCTCCTCCACCTGCAATCAACGGGCCGCCCCGTCGCTCATTCCTCTCCTCCCCCAGTTGAGCCTACACCGAACGGATGCATCTGGTGCTCTCTCGGCCTTCGTGGTTGCGGCGGCCAGCCAAGGGGAGGGCTTGTGTGCCGCAAAACGCGGTGGAGGAAGGCGGGGGAGAGGCAGCAAGACGTGGGTCTCGTCGGGTTGGAAATGGGGAGGAAGGCGTACTGCGGTGCGGTTGGGTTCGGTGGTACAGTACGTGAGGCTGGCAAAGCGGAGAGAGGGGGAGAGGCGGGGAATCGGAAAGGGGAATGGCGGGGTGAGCAGAGGAGAATGGCGGAAAGACGGTTGGGGAGAATGGTGGGGGAGAAGGTGGGTGGGTGGGTGGGGTGGGGGGAGAGAGGGCAAGAAAGACGGAAAATGGGGGGTGCTGCTGGAGGAGCAGAGGGGGAATGGATGATGGGGACAGGTGGGTGAGCGGCAATGCGGTTCTGGTTGAAGTCAACCGCGCGCAGCTGGCGGGACTGGCACCGCGGCCATGTGGGATGATCATCACGATGTAACAGAGCGCAACGAATAGGGGAAAGTAGGAAAAGTTGGGAATCGGGAAATAGGGGGAATGGGGGAATTTGGTTGAGGGAAATCGTGAAGCCAAAAACACGCGGTCACGTACACCGTTGGCGGAGGAGACCCCGCTTCGCGGAAACCAAGCAACCGGCCAGCCCATCATTTCACGCACATTGCCGCGCTGCGTTGTGTCCGGCGGCAGGTGAGAGAAATTTGCCGGTCGAACCGCTGCGTCTGACACATTGCCGGCGTGGGAATTCATTAAATTTTGTGGATGCTTGTCTTGGTTTTGAGTTTCAGAGCACAGACTCGAAAACATAGTTCGTTTCTTGCTACCTTTACGGTAGCCCTGTTTCATGATTTTCCTTCTTGACAGAGTGTCCATGCAACTGACACTTCCATAAGAGAGTTTTGGCTGATGCCCCCATTCTTCTAGCAAAAAGTGGGCTCGAATGCTTGGTGAGACCCCGTGAATGCGAAAATCGTGTCCCGCATTCCACCATCATGCAGCAGGACTTCGGCATGACGAGATGGTAGCAGAAATTTGGTGAAGTTCCACAAGAGCAACAAAATACTTAGCATGAGAGTCTCTACCATTATAAGGAATACCCAAGATGCTTTGTCAACAACTCTGCAAACAACACTTGAGAAGTGAGTGGGAGTCTGCCCGAAGCTGATTGAAACAGTTCTGGACTGGTCTGGTCTGTTTTCGCGAAAAGCAACGAAAATTCAGCGCGCAGCGCAGATGTCACGGGCACTGACGAAGTCGAGTGCGTTGAATGCAGGTTTGCAGGCGTTGTCAGAAAAACATCCCCGTTATATTTGCTTCCCACTTCGCCTAACCACCTATTTGGAATTTAATGCTCTATCAACACATGACTTGGGCGTCCAAGGCAATCAACAAGTCAAATATTGCAGGTTTTTAATTGAGAGCTCCTACCTTGATTTCAATCTTGTGCAAATCATTTACCCTATGCTGTAATCATGCCGTTGTTCCTTGTGGCCTATTTACTGTTGTTTCAAGCTAATGCCACAGAAGCAGCGGTTGGAATGTCAGTAACCAGTAACTGCTGCCGCAATTCCACGACCAAACCAACAGCAGCACGAGTGGTGGCGGGAGCGGCAGCAACAGGAGTACGAGCTAGCAAGTCAGAAGTCACGACTCACAACACCACAGTCTCGGCCTTCGCTTCTACGACTTGCCGCGGGTCCGACGCTCCCTAAGCTGCCTCTGCATGGCACAAGAAAGGTGGTGAGGGGAAGAACATGCAAAGTAAACAGCAGAAGAAAACAAAACAAACAAAAAGAGCGGACAGGTGCAGATAGGGAAAGGTCCGAGAGGTGAAGGAGGGAGAGAGGGCTGGGACGGAGGGGACCGAAAACAATATTGAAAGCGGTCTGCAGGGGGGCGGATAGAGAATCCGAGCTTCCACACCTTGTCCTTTCCATCTGACTCTCCTCCGGATCCTCCTGCCCCAGCAGCCTCAGCCTCTGCTTCCTTTGCTGCCTTCTTCTCCTCCCCTTCTCCTGCCGCACCCCCTGCTTTCTTCTCTTCCTGCGCACCCACTGCAATGCCAATAGACACCTTCCTCGCTCGACCCCCCTGCGCTGCTGCTCCTGCCTTCCCATCTCCCCCTTCACCTGCCTCCTGCTCCTTCTCCTTCCCCTTCTCCCCCTCCTCCTCCTCCTTCTCCTTCTCATCCTCCTCACCAGCTGAGTTCCCATTTACAGCAGTACTCTCCTTGGCCTTACCTCCTTCCTTATCCCCTGCCTTTGCCCCTGCCTTCTCCCCGTCCTTCTCAGCCTTCCCTCTGGCACTCTCTTCCGCCCTACCCTCATCCTTCCCTCCCTTAGCTGCCCCCTCGCCCTCTCCCTCACCATCCCCTGACGCTTTCTGCTTCTTATTAGCCCCATTGCGCTCCTCCCCTTCCTCCTCCCCATCAGCCTTCCCCCTCTTCTCCCCGCCCTTCTTCCCCACATCGGTCTTCTCCGGTTTTTCGGCCTCAGTCCCTTTCTTCTTGACCTCTGCACTCTTAGCATCAGCAGTCTTGGTAGTAGCCTTGGCATCAGCCGCATTCGCAGCTACAGGAACACTAGCAGCAATGCCTACACTTGCCTTCACTGCTTTTTTCGCCCCAGCCTTTCCCTCCCCCTTCTCCCCCTCCTCACCGCTTTTCTTCTCCTCCTCCTTCTCCTGCTTCTTTTCGCTCACCTCCTCAGCCCCCTTCTCACTCTCCCCACCCTTCTTCTCAGTCTCCCCTTTTTTCTCCACATTCTCTTCCTTTTTCTCCTCCTCCCCTTTCTCCGCCTTCTCACCTTTATCACCCTTCCCTTCCTTCTCACCCATCTCGCCCTTCTCTTCCCCCCCATCAACCTCATCAGCTTCAACCATTTCCACATCCCCCTGCTCACTGCTCTCACCTCCCTCATCTTCCTTCCCCCCCGCTCCCCTCCCCCTCTTCGCCCCCTTCCCTCTCTTCCCTCCCTCCTCCTTCCCCTCTCTCCCTGTCTCATCCCCCTCCTCATCCCCCTCCCTCTCCTCATCCCCAACCACCTCCTCTGCCTTTCTCTTCCCTCTCCCTCCCTTTTCAGCTGATCCCCCTCCTCTCCCTCCACCACCAGCAGCGGCAGTAGCAGTCCCTTTCCCTCTCCCAGTCCCCTTATCCGCTGCAGGTGTGCTTGCACCCTTAGCCTTCCCCCCACCTGCCTTAGCAGCAGCGCCAGTCGCAGCAGAGGGAGCGGGAGCAGGAGGGTCAGCAGCAGGAGCTGGAGGAGGAACCTTTTTCTTGTGAGATCTGCAGAAAAGGGGCCGAGCAAGGACGAGGAAAAGCGGAGACAGGTTGATGCCTGAAAGGGTCAGAATGCAATTCAGCCACTCGAAATCAAGTCCCATGCCGCTGCCTCAGAATTCTTATTCAGAATGCTAGTGCAGTACAGAATAGCACATACAAAACTGAAAATAACAAAAAAAGGTCAAGTTCAAAGTGATTAACGCATACAGAGATCACGCGAAGCGGGATGGGAAACAACCGTTGCACACCCACGCATGCTGGAAGATATTAACCTAACGAGTTACAGATGTCCTTACTTGCTAACGCTGGTGGCACCGTCAGCACCTGCTGCCTCCGCGCCCTTTCTGTGTGACCCTGCAGTCTTTCCTTTGCTGGCAGATTCAGGAGCAGAAGTTGCCGGCTTCTGTAGAATAAACAGGCAGGCAGACAGACAGACAGACAGACAAAAAGATAACAGTCGTGAAAAAAAAATACAGTCAAGAATTCAGAAATGGTTGCCCCACCAGAGGTAGCAAAACCAAGAGACGTCATAGAAACAAAGGAAGATCCGCATTGCTTGTCTCACCAATTATGAAAGCAGCGGCGCCAGACAAAGGAACATCGACAATCTGACAGTCCGACAATCTGTCACAGGAGACTAAAACTGCAACGAACCTCAGCGGAAGCGGCGGTGGGGGGAGGCAGACCGTCAATGAATTCAAACTTCTCCCGGTGCAGCAACAGGTCCTCCTTGTCGCCATCGTCATACCGCACCTGGTGTGTGCGCGCCGACAAAGGGGATGGAGAGATAGGGAGATGGAGTGATGAATGGATGATGTGCTAGGTTTTCTAAGCGTCTCACAGTGCGTTCTCCCACAAGCAGTGCGTTCTCCCACAAGCAGTGCGTTCTCCCACAAGCAGTGCGTTCTCCCACAAGCAGTGCGTTCTCCCACAAACAGTGCGTTCTCCCACAAACAGTGCGATCACTGTTGCATCACAAGAAATGCGTGTTTTTCTAAGCGTCCCGGATTGATGATTTGCAAGTAGAGTTTGCACAGGCTTTGATCAGGATTGGCACCTAGCATGCATACCGTGTGCTTCTCAGTCTTGACTTGGTATGACTTGATTACGCCCTTATAGTAGCTGCGCAGGAGAGAACGGAGGACGGGAAGGGAGGGAGGAAGGGTTTTGATCTTGTGTAAATAGGGCAGCAGGCAGCATGTGTACGTTTTGGTGAGGGTTTCTCAGCATACCATACCTAGACGAAATTCACAACAGATCAAAACGGAATTCACACATCCACCACAATACTTCACCCAATCTCGTGTTGCTACTCACGCTTTGTCTAGCGGCCACCACACTTTGATGCGCCGCCCCACATACGCCTTGCGCAGCGCAATCTCGTTCGCCCCTGCCGGCGCAGCTGCTGGTGTTGGTGGTACTTTCTGATAAGATGAGAACACGTGCGAGAGGCAAGGGAGGGAAGGAAGGAGGGAGGGAGGGAGGGAGGGAGGGAGGGAGGGAGGGAGGGAGGGAGGGAGGGAGGGAGGGAGGGAGGGAGGGAGGGAGGGAGGGAGGGAGGGAGGGAGGGAGGGAGGGAGGGAGGGAACAAGGCACGTGAGAATGAGAACCACCAGTGCTGTCAGTACGCACACTCCACCTTCCATGGCACCACCACCCTTGCCATTCTAGAGGCAATTTCAAGATTCATTCACACCCAAAGAGGAAACCCCTTCACAAGCACCTACAGCACTCATTCCGCACCTTCTTATGGCTAACTGACGGCCCCTGCTTGCCCCCCTTCGAAGCGACAGGAGTAGCCGTTGCAGCAGCAGCAGCAGCAGCAGGCGAAGTACCAGCCCCTCTAGCCGAGCCCTTGGCCACTTTCCTCCCTCCCCCTGTCCCTGCTCCCTTCCCTCCCTTACCAACAGGTGTTCCCTCTTCCCCCCCTTCCTCATCATCCCCCTCTCCTGCCTCCTCCTCCTCCTCTTCCCCGCCCTCTGCTTCCTCCTCCTCCTCTTCCTCTGCTGCTCCCTCCCGTCCTCCTCCTTTCCTCCCCCCCTTCCGCCTATCCGCACTTCTCCCCCTCCCAGGAGTAACCTCCTCAACAGCCACTTTAGCTTTCTTCCTTGCTGATTCAGCAGCACCCGAGTCCTTCCTCCCCTTCCGCCCCCTCGCCTCCCCCACAACAGTAACACCTTCCTCAGATAACACCTTCACTACGTCATCCTCCTCCTCCTCCTCCTCCTCCTCGCCCTCCTCGTCCCCTCCCACCTCCTCTGCCTCTTCATCCTCCTCCTCGTCTCCCTCCTCCTCCTCTCCTCGCCCATCCAGCCTCCTTCTAGTAGTGTTTCTTGAGGGTCTCTTGCCCTTTCCGCCGGCACGGGCAGCCTAGAAAGAAAAACGGTTACAAACGGGAAGAGGGGAAAGGACAGGAGGGAGAGAAGGGAGAGATAGGCACCAAGAAAAAGGAGCCTCAGAAAGCAGTTGAAAAAAAAAAGGGGGGTGTAAGGTCCCAGAACACAGTCACGCAGGATGGCTGCTGCTGCATGCGGTGAACAAGGTAGAAAGCTACTGCGTACGTACCAGGGAAACGAATGAGCAGAGCGTATAAAACGGCTGAGCAAGCAAGCCCTAGGCGCAACTCCCCAATGTGTGACCCAGCAACCCTTGAGCACAGAACGCTCACAGAGCACTACAGCCGCCCCCTCCCCCAACCATCCCGCACTCAACCCCCCCCCCCCCCCCCCCCCTTCCTCCAGTTCCTTTCCCCCTTGGACCACTCACATGGTGCCGTGCTTTGGCGGCAGGAGACGCAAGGGGCTTCACTTGCACCACGAACTGGGTCTCTAGATCAGACAGGCAGGCCGGGAGATTGCTGCCGTCCGGCTGTGGGTGGGAGAGAGAGGGGTGGGAAGGGTAGCAAGAGAGGGCTTAGGAGTCTCCGAAGCAAGGGGATTCACTTGCACCACGAGCGGGGTCTTTCGATCAGACAGGCAGGCCGGGAGATTGCTGCCATCGGGCAGTGGGGAGAGAGGGGACGGGGTGGGGCGGCAAGAGAGGAAAGAGGGGTGGTTGCGAAGGGATGAATGCAGGAATTTCAAAGTGAGGGGAGGGAGTGAGAGGAGTGAGCGATGGGAGCGAGAAGAGGGAGGGGGGGAAAGCGAGGAGTGGAGGAGGGAGTGTGAAATAAGGGGAGGGAGGGAGGGATGAGGAAGAGTGAAAGGAGTGAAGAATGAGGGGAGCGAACACGCAAAGAAGAGGCAAGGAGCAGGCACTAACCAGGGGAGTGAGAGGCAGCTCGGAACCAGGTGTAGGCTCAGGGGTCTCAGTCTCCCCAGCTCCATTCTCCGCCCCTGCTGCCCCTCCTGCTGCTGCTGCTCCTGCTGCCGCTGGTGTGATTGCCCCAGCAGCAGAAGCAACAGCAGCAGCAGCAGGGGGCGGCAATGTAGCAGGGCTTTTGAAGAGTGCAGAGGGAAGAGGCACTGGTTGTGAGTAGGTGAGCGTGAAGGGACGAGTCCTGCCAATGGCCTTGGCTATCGCAATGCCAATGTCGCACACTGCTGCTAGTTTCTGGTAAGCAGGGAAAATCGAGAGGGTGGGCAGACGGGAGGGGGGAGCGGGGGAAGGGGTGGGGGATGGATAGGGGCAGGAAGGGGAATGTTAAGGGGGAAGAGAAGAAGGAAATGAAACAGCAGTTCAAACAAAAGCGTGGGACATTTGTCACACCAGGAGGAGGTGGTTGGCTGACAAAGTTGGAGAGGGAGAAGCAAAGGTGGCAGGAGGAGAAAGCAAGAAGAGCTGGGGAGAAGAACAGCATGGGATGAAGGAACCGAAACAGCAGTTCACACCAGGGGGTGGTGGTTGGCTGACGAAGTCGGATGAGGAGAAGCAAGGGCGGCAGGAGGAGAAAGCAAGAGGAGCTGCGGAGAAGGACTAAGGGCAGGCCAGTCAAAGAGAAAAGGCTTTGGACGGTGGTTAACCACCACACCACACAATAAACCCTCCACTCACCTCCTGTACAACGCTGTTGGCAACCGGGCTAGCCGCCTTGATGGTCCGCAGCACTGCCAGCACGGCTCTCAGGTTATCCACCTCTTCCTTCCCAACGCCCCCCACCCCCCGAGCCCCACCTGTCCTTTGAGTCGTGGTTACAATAGACACATGCCACTCACTCACCTCCTGTGCAACGCTGTTGGCAACAGGGCTGGCCGCCTTGATGGTCCGCAGCACTGCCAGCACCGCTCCCAGGTTATCCACCTCCTCCTGCCCCGCGCCCCTGTCCTTGCGCGATGCCCCTGCACCTGCCTCCGCGCCCCTCCCCCATTCCGCGCCCCCCTGCAGCAATGCCCTCAGCAGGTACTCCAGAGGACTGGGGGAAGGGGGGGTGTAAGGGGAGCGGGGTGGGGGGGGAGGGGGAGGGGGGGGAGTCAGAGGGGAGATGCCAGGGGGAAGGTGGAAGGGAGGGGGGTGTGTGTCAAAGGGAAGAGGAGAAGGGAGAGTGTTGAAGTGAGGCAAGAATTGAGGGTGGGTGGAGAGCGGAACACGGAGAGGGGGGGTGGGTGGGGCGGGGAGGGTGAAAGTGGGGGTGGGAGAGAGGCGAGAGCAGGAAAGAGACGAAGAAAGCAAGTTAAATTAACGAATTCACTCACCATCTAAAACCACCATACGAAACCCCAGCCACAACCCACCCCACTCTGCCCTCATGTGCCCCCACCCACCCACCCATCCTCCCACCCCCACCCTCTCCCTCTCTCCCTCCTTCCCTCTCTCCCGCCCTCCCTCCCTCCCTCTCTCCCGTACCGCTGAATCGGCTCATAGTCCTCGGCCTTGGCGCTGCCAGCATCAACCTTCGGCCACTGTGGGTGCTGGGCCAGCACATATGCCAGATACACCAGCACATACTCGGGGTGCTCTATAATCGTCGATAACCCTGCAACACCGGCACCCCCAGCACCAGCAGCAGCAGAATCAGCAGCACCAGCCGCACTCGTACCAGCCTCTTTGCCCCCCGCTTCCTCTCCCCCTCCCTTCACCTCCCACGCCTGCTCCTCCCGCTTCACTTCCCTGTCCTTCCCATCGTCCCCAGTCAACCCTGCTACGGATCTCCTAGCAGCCGCCCTCCTAGTAACGTCCACGTATTCTGCTAGGTACCTACGGACCTGAACAGAGGCAAAGAGTGAAGAAAAGGTACACAGCCGGGAAGGGAGTAAAGATCTCTGGAAAAGGCAACCAGCAAAAGGAGGAAGCAAAAACCTGCCACTCCTTCACCCTTCTCTTCCTCACGTTCCCCCCTTCACCCTTGCTCCGACTCCCCTTCCTCCTCTCGTCCCCCCCTTATCTCCCCCCCTTATTCAGGCCCCCTCATTACCTCACCCTCTACCCCCCTTTTCCTCCTCACCTCCGTCTGCTGCTCGCTGTCCGTCTCCTCTGCAGCCGCCAGCAGCGGCAGCGCAGCAGCATAGCGCATGGGCACAGAGCGATCCTTGAGGCCCGCTATCAGCTTGCTGGCAAAGCCCCTCCTCACCAGAGGCACCGCATCCTGAAGGCACAAGCACATGGTGGGAGGAGGGAGGGTGAGGAGAGAAGAGGAGGGGAGGGGGAAGGGGGAAGGAGAGGAGGGGAGGACGGGAAAGTTGTGGACAAAAAAATCAAACCAAGCAGCAGGTGAGGGGAGGGGAGGGGAGGGGAGGGGAGGGGGAGGGGAGGGGAGGGGGCGGGGAGGGGCGGGGAGGGGCGGGGAGGGGAGGAGAGGAGAGGACAATGGAGATAAGGTAGTGTGGAAAGGCCGAAAGGCGGAAAGACTCTGAATTGCCTTGGCCCGACAGCCACCCCACCCCGGGACTTACAAGCGAGGAGAAGAGTGCGAGGCGGTAGAGGTCTGGAGTGATCTGTGAGTTGAGCTGTGTGGCGAGGTTAAGCACTGACTTGGCTGCTGTCACTCGCAGCAGCGCACCTTCTTGACTCAAGAATTGGTCACCCCGGGACTTACAAGCGAGGAGAAGAGAGCGAGGCGGTAGAGGTCGGGAGTGATTTGGGAGTCGAGCTGTGTGGCGAGGTTCACAACTGACTTGGCTGCTGTCGCTCGCAGCAGCGCACCTTCTTGACTCAAGAAGTGGTCACCCTGGGACTTACGAGGGAGGAGAAGAGTGCGAGGCGGTAGAGGTCGGGAGTGATCTGTGAGTCGAGCTGTGTGGCGAGGTTCACAACTGACTTGGCTGCTGTCAGCCGCAGCAGCGCTTTGTCCGCGTCCCTGCAATGACAATGACGGGTTTACAGACGATGGGTGAGTTGGTAAATTCAAATCACAGAGGGAACGGCGGGTTTGCATGAGCCAAGAGTGCTGGTGCATGTGCACGTGCGCGCATGTGTGCGCGAGCGTATACCTCGCCCCGAGGCTGTCGCTTGCCCAGCAGAGAACACCTAGCCGCAGGTTGGGTGGGTGCGTGCGGCATGTGTGCGAACGGGTACGTGCATGCATCTAGAGGGAAGTGCAGTGTAGAGCAGAGCAGAGCACTCACGAGGACTGCACGTCGTCATACGCCTCGCCGCGAGGCAGCAGCTTCCCCAGCACAGCCTGCAGCATGCGTGGATTGGTGCGCGTATGCGTGAACCTAGAGAGAAGCACAGCGCAGCACGGGGCACTCACGAGGACAGCACGTCTTCATACACCTCGCCCCGAGGCAGCAGCTTCCCCAGCACGGCCTGCAGTCCCGTCGACTGCTTCTTGCTGCTCCCCGGAGTCGCCTGCCGTGGCAGAAACGTCTTCACCAGCATCTTGATGCCGCGCGACTGGTGGAGGAGAGAAGGGGAGAAAAAGGAGGAGAGCAAGGCAAGGGAGAGGGGGGGGGGGGGGGGGGGGGGGGGGGGGGGGGTAAAGGGTGAGAAGAGGGGTGCAATGGGTTTTCTTGCATGGTGAGAAGAGAACACCTTCACTTCACCAGTATCTGAATGACGAACAGGAGAGTGGGAGAGAACACAGGGGAGAGAGGGAGGGGGAAAGTGCAAAGATTATAGGTGTGCAAAGAGCAGGAAAGCAAAGGAAGACTAGAAGAGGAGGAAAGGCATGTGTGCCTGCCTATGCGGGCAGTTGCACAAATACACACACTGGAACACAGCATTCGCATGACACCCGCAGATACCCACACGAACACACACACGCGCATGAAGACATTGCATTGGACACAGTGCATACAATGCAACCCTGCGCTCTCACCTTGAGTGTTGCCATAGTCGAAGGCGTGTCAAGCGCTGCTGCTGCACTCGCCTGGGCTAAAAAACTCTGAAACCGTGACGGAAAAAAATGGGGTGTCATGGAGAACCAAGTTCCAACACAAGGCACAGCATAGGCACAGGGCAGGAAGACGGAAGGGAAATGCAGTAAGGCTCAAAGAATTGACTTTTACGGAAAAAAAACAAAAAACAAAACAAAAAAAAACATAGCCCAGGGTGTACGAACAGCACCAGGCGCACAGCACGCAACAAACCAAACAAACAAACAAACACCGCACAATCAGCACACCCGTACCACAGCCACACCACACCACAACCAACCCACCCTCTACACCCAGGCTGGGCAGAGCAGCTTGCGCACGACAAACTTGATTATGGTGTCCTCATGAGGCTGCGATACATCCACCCACGCTCTCTCCTTCTACATGTACGTGTCCTAGAATTTAGCACACGCCCATACACGCACCGCACCACATTGCACCCAACCCCACCCAACCCAACCCCCAACACTTACGAAGCGCCGCAGCAGCTTGCGAATGGCAAACTTGATGATTTCGTCCTCATGCGGCTGCCACCCGTCCTGACTCCTCTGCACCTGCAGCTGCTCCCTCCTTTACTTGCCACACACCCACACCACACGACACCGCACTGCAATGCACTGCATCGCACCCAACCCACGCCACTCACGGAGTACCGCAGCAGCTTGCGAACAACAAACTTGATGATTTCGTCCTCATGCGGCTGCCACACGTCCGGGGCGAAGCGCGCAATCTCCCCCAGCGCATCCAGGCTCCTCTGCAGCTTCTGCTCGCCCGCACTCTCCAGCGACTTGAACGCCCTCTGATAGCCGGCAATGATAGTGATGGTGATGGTGATGGTAATGATGATGGTGATGGTGATGGTGATTGTGTGGCAGATTTGTTGTTGGGGGAGGAGGAATGAGAGTGGTGCATTTTATGTATCACAAAAAAAACCCTCGCACCTCGTAAATAAATGAGAATGTGGAAAAACTTCCAAGTCGACTCACAAGCTACGTCGATCCCCACCTCCCCCTCCCCCTCCCCCTCACCCTCCCCCTCCCCCTCCCCCTCCCCCTCCCCCTCCCCCGCTTCGTGTGTATCACAAACTTCTTCGTACCTCATAGATGAACGAGAGTGTGGAGCGGCCTCTAGCGCCACAAATGGAGGCAGAGAGTGCGACCTGAAAGCTCCATCTACCCCTCACCCCCCCTTCCTCCCGCGTGTATTAAAAAAACCTTCGTACCTCGTAGATGAACGAGAGTGTGGAGCGGCCTCTAGCGCCATAGATGGAGGCAGAGAGGGCAGCCACTGCTGCCTTGATCTGGTGCCTCGTGCCGTCCATAGCCAGCTGCTTCAGACACTCCATGGTGTCGCTGGGAGGAAGGAGGGACGAAAACGGGAGAGAGAAATCAGAAATTGGTAAAAGTCAAAGTGCAAAATAACTGATTTCGTGCCTCGTACCGTCGATACCAGCTGCTTCAGACACTCCATGGTGTCGCTGGGAAGTGGGAGGATGGAGGGGGGTTGGTCGACGGGAGTGGTGGGAGGGGTGACAAAGAGATGGAAAAGTGGGAACAGGTATTGATGAAACCGTCCCAGAACACCTACCATCTAAAAATCCCCCTCTCTTCCCCCAATCCCTCCCTCCATCCCTCGTAAACCCCCCCTGCTCCTCACTTCTCACCCCTCGCCATCCCTTACCTCCTGCCCCGACAATCTTACTTGGTGGTCTGCGAATCCGGAGGCTGGTTGCTGAGAGCAGCAGCATGGGGGGAGGCGGAGTCCGGGGAGAAGGAGAGCTTGGAAAGCAGCTTCGCCGCGCCCTCCTTGAGCTCCGGATGGTGCGCCCTCAGGAGAGGAAGCAGGCTGGAGAAGCACCCCTCAAAAAGCGCAGGGAAGTGTGCTGCCACCTCCTGGGATGCGGTGTGATGCGATGCATCACATTAGGAAAAGCAGGGAAGAAAGGGACGGAGAGACGTGGGGGGAGGGGGGGGGGGGGGGGGGGGTAGGGGGGGGGAAATGGAATGAGAGGGAACGATACACCGTGCGCAAACAACGCCAGGGGGAGAGCAGCTTTGCAGCGCCCTCCCTCCTTGAGCTCGGGGTGGTGCGCCCTCAGCAGCGGCAGCAGACTGGAGAAGCAAGCACCCTACGAAGAGTGCTGGGAAGTGCGCTGCCACTTCCTGGGATTCAGTGTAATGCGGTGTGATGTGGTGTGAAGCGACGCGATTCGAGGCAATGTGATGCGACGCACAACATTGAGGGAAGCGCGGAAGAAAGGAACAGGAGAAGCGGGGGGGTGGGAATGGGGTGGGGGCGGGTTCGGGTGGAAAAAATAAGTGAGGGAGGGGGGTGCGATACCCAACCAACTCCACGCACACAACACAAACACCGGACAAGCAGCACACGCATCACTAGGCATCACCAGCCAACACAAGGCAACACCAGGTAAACGCCAGGCAAACATTGGGCAGCAGCAGCACCAGCACGCACCACGAGCAGCCGAATGGCAGCAGTCACAAACAGCCGGAACCGCCGCGCCAGCACCTGCTGCTGCCTCACAGACAGTCCCGCCGCACCCGACCTCTTCCCACCCACCACGCCCCCTCCCTTCTCCCCCTCCCCACCACCCCCGCCCGCCCCCTCCCCCTCCTCCTCCTTCCCCTTCCCGTCCCGCCTCTTCCCACCCACCACGCCCCCCCCCTTCTCCCCTCCCTCCTTCTCCTCCTCCTCCACGCTCTCAGGATTAACCTTGGCTGCTGCTTCCTCCCCTTTGGCTGCAATGGCACCAAGGATAGCCAGGACGTGTTCGGTGTGTTGCCGACCAAAGAGGTGAAAGGAGAGCTTGAAGGAGAGGTCCTTCACCAGGTCGTACAGGTGTGACCTCTCGCCTATGCGCTTCAGCAACTCCTCCTGTATGGCGCGGATCAGGGGGAAGAGGGGCGGGGAGGAAGGGCGGGCGGACGGGTGGGAGGAAGGTGGTGGAGGGGGAAGAGATGGAAGGAAAGCTTGAAGGAGAGGTCTTTGACCAGGTCGGACAGGTGTGACCGCTCACCTATGCGATTTAAGTGTTTCCCCTGTACATTGGGGGAAGGGGGAAAGTGGGAAGGGGGCTGGAGGGGGAGTGAGGTGAGACCATGTGGCGAGTGGTGGGAGAGAGCAGAGGAGAGTGGGGTGGTGGGGAGAGAGGGAGCGGGGAACGGGTGAAAGTTGCGTGTCGGCCACACTATAACCTAGTTCTAACATGCAACAAGGCACTGACTGACACAGCGCTTACTTACCCGCATGACCTGTATCGACGTGAGGGTTTCAGCAGGGGACGTGAGGGTTTCAACAGGGGACATGAGGGACCAGAGCAGCCGGGCCAGAACATATGGTTATCCTTCAGTGCAGCGACTTTTGAGTCGACTCAAAATGAGGCGGCTTTTGAGTCGACTCAAAATGAGGCGGCTTTTGAGTCGACTCAGAACTTACCCGCATGGCCTGTATCGACGTGAGCGTTTCAGCAGGGGACATGAGGGACGAGAGCAGCCGAAACACATTATTATCCTTTAGCACAGCCAGCTTTGCAAAATGCTCCTCTGCCTTTGCGACATCCAGAAACGCTGCCTGTGCCATGCGCCTCCCTGTCGCCACCATCCTCTCTTGCAGCACCTTCCTCTCAGCTTCAATCGCCACCAGACTCCCATCCCCTCCTCCTCCTCCTCCTCCCGCTTTCCCTGCGTCTTCCCCGCCTTCCCCATCAGTCCCTGGTTCTGCTTTCTCCTTGCCCTTCCCCTTGCTCTTCTCTGCCTCCTCTCCAGCCTTTTTCCGCTCACGAGCCTCTAGGTCCTTGAGCTCTTGGCGTGTTCGCAGGAATGTTGCCATGCTGGATTGAAGGCTGGTCAAAGAGAGGAAGGGAAAGAGAAAAAGGGCTCAGGGTTCGGGGATTTTTAGGCGCCTGAAAGAGCGTCCAGGTCCTTGAGCTCTTGGGCATGTTCGCAGAAACGTTGCCATGCTGGATTGAAGGCTGGTCGCGGAGAGTAAGGGAAAGAGGAAAACACAGGGTTTGGGGTTTGGGTTTAGCCACCTGAACAAGCGCCCAGGTCCTTGAGCTCATGGCGTAGTCGCAGGAACGTGTCCATGATGGATTGAAGGCTGGTCAGGGAGAGGAAGGGAAAGAGGAAAACACAGGGTTCTGGGTTTAAGGTTGGGAGGAGAATGGACAGGGGAAATAGTGGTGAACGACAGAGGAGGGAGGAGCGCAGGGGCAGCATCTAACAAGGGATGAACAAGGGATGTAAGCTGTGCGAGAAGGCCTTGAGGTCGTTAATGTCAAAGGAGAGGAAGAGAGGGGGAGTGAGTGCAAGGGCGGGGAGGTGAGAACGAAGGGGAGGGAGCGGAGTGCAAGGGGGGGAGGTGTGAGCAAGTTTGGAAAGGGGGGCGGGGAAGACAAAAGGGGCCAGGGGAGACAGAGGCACATCTGCTTGTTCTGCAGGATGTGCGAGAAGGCCTTGAGGTTGTTGACGTCAAATGGGCGGACGAGAGGGATGGCAGGCAATGCGGGGAGGGTGGAACTGAGTAGAAGGGGGGGGCGTTAAAGAGGGCGAGGCAGGTTGAACTCACATCTGCTTGTTCTGCAGGATGTGCGAGAAGGCCTTGAGGTCGTTGACATCAAAGGAGTGGAAGAGGTACACCCAGTGGAACGCCCTCCGCTCCACAGGGAGTGTCTTGGGGAAGAGCTCCTCGTCAAAGAACACGTCCATGGTCTGAGGCCTGCATGGCAAACAGAGGAGTGGAGTGGGGTGGAATGGGGTGGGGTGGAATGGGGTGGGGTGGGGTGGGGTGGGGTGGCAAGAGAACAGTCCACGGATTCTTGAGGTGCCGAAAGCTCCAGAGGCAGAGCCTTGAGGAAGAGCCCCTCGTCAAAGAACACGTCCATGGTCTGAGGCCTGCACATGGCAAGGCAGACAGAGGGGTGGAGTGGGGTGGGGTGGGATGGTGGGGGGTGGAGTGAGGCGCGGTGGCAAGAAAAGAGCACAAGGACGATGGGGTGGAGGGGGGGAGCTAAAGACGACTCAGCACAGGCCCACGATGGGAAACAGACCAGACTACACTAGCAAGGCACCAATCTCGCCAGCCACCAACAGCAGCACTCATTTGAAGTCCTTGCAGTCCTCCTTGAAATAGCAGCACTTGATCATCCGACTCGGCCCCTCTGCACATACCCTTGAGGAGAAAACGACCAAGACAGAATGCACAAGCAAGACTCTAATATAACTAGCCACCAGCACTCCAGCAGCACTCACTTGAAGTCCTTGCAATCTTTGAAATAGCAGCACTTGATCATCCGACTCGGCAGCCACTCAAACCTCTCCACCTCCTCCTCCTCCTCCTTATCCCCCTCCACACCATTCCCCACCCCTCCCCCTTCCCCTCCCGCTCCCGCCTCCTCTCCCTTCCCCCTTTTCCCTCCCTCAGCCTCCTCCCTCTCCTTATCCCGCACCGCGCACCGCAAGCAGTGCTCCCTATAAACCCTCGCAATCTCTGGTAATGTGGATCGTCGCACAGGGACCTTCTTGTCCCTCAGTCTGTCCGCCACTGCTCGCAGGTCCGCCACGGGCAGCAGCTTGGGGCTGCGGGCGAACACAGAGCAGAGGGCCTTCACCGCCGCCTGCCTCACCCGCTCCTCCACGTCTAGCAGTCGCTCCAGCAGCATGTCTGCCGGGCACGGGGTGAAGTGGACGGGTGGGGGTGGGGGTGGGGGTGGGGGGAGCAGGAAAGGGGGGCGGGGGGGGGAGGGGGGGGGAATTGGGGGTTAAAAGGCGAATGGGGATGCTGCTGGGAAGAGGGAGGAGCAAAAAAACGAGAAAGGAGGGGAGAAAAACAGGGAAAATTTTTGCAGAAACGGATGCACCAGGAAAAGCTGGGATCGTGAAAGGAGGGAGCGAATGCGGGGAGAGTTCATTTAGGAAGAAACGCAAAGGTCAGCGGTTAACTTCCATGTTCACCCTCCACTCCAGCTAATAAAGCCCGAACCTTACCATCCTAACCCTAAAACTCTCAAACCCCTTCCATTCCGTTCATCCCTAAACCCTAACCTCCTATCCTACCCCCCCCCCCATCCTCCTCTCCTTTCCATGACTCACTCCTTATTTCTGACATATCCACAGCCCTGCCGCCAACGCCAACACCTGCTCCCACCCCGGCACCAACAGCCCCAGCACCACCAGCACCAGCCACAGCCCCTGCCACCCCAGGCGCCTTGTTGAAATACAAGGCCACAAGCGCGTTCCCCCCAGCCCCTGCCGCGGCCCCTGCTGTCCCACCACCACCACCAGCAGAACCAGCACCAGCAGCAGCACCGGAAGTGGAACCAGCAGCCGGGAGGAGGAAGGATTGGAGGAGGTTGACAAGCTTGACGCGCACGTCGACGGACTTGTCGTTGGAGCGGCGCAGGAACTCGGCAAAGAGCTGCCGGTAGTGGTGCTGCAGCGTGGCCGCGTCCACCATCAGCAGCTTCCCCACCAGTGACACCGCCCTCAGCCGCACCTCGGGATCCTCATGCTGTGAGGGAGACGGGGCGAGGGGGAGCGTGTGGTAGAAGGGGAAGGAAGGGGCGGGAGGGGGGTGAGAACGGGGGGGTGTGGCTGCGTCCACCATGAGCAGCCGCCCCAACAGCGACACCGCCCTCAGGCACACCTCGGGATCCTTGTGCTGTGAGCCTGCAGAACAAGGGAAAAGGGGAGGGTACAAACGCATGCTCATGCCATGCCATGCCATGCCATGCCATGTCGTGCAATGCAATGCAAGGCCATGCGATACCATGCCACGCCACGCCATGCCATGCCATGCCAAGCCACAGAAGTGTATGTGCAAGCGAGGCCATACATCCACCGCTCCTTACCACGAGCTCCTCATGTATCTGCGGCAGTGCCATCTCCAGCGCACTCGGCGCCACTCGAAACACCTCCAGAATCACATCGTGGTACCGCTTGCACGCCAGACTACCGCCGCCGCCACCGCCGCCCTTGCTCTCCCCGTCCTTGCCTCCAGCAGCGGCCACAGTGCGGATTGCGGGGGCGAGGTGCCTCTGGAGCACTGGCTGCAGCCGCTCCGCGGATCGCTTCACCACTGCTGCTCCAAGCTGGTACGCGTATGGAGAGGCCTCCTGGTGGGTGGAATGACACAGAACAAAACAGACTTGGTGATGTGAGTAACGTAATCTTGCTAGGAAGGCATCGCGTAATCTGCTAGTGACTAGTGACAGCTGGTATGAGTACGGAGACGCCTCCTGGTGGGTGGTGACGACGGGAACACACAGCCTTTGTGTGTTTCGCATTTTGCTGGAAAGCAATAGCATCATCTAGTGCTGCTCATTTTGTTTCGAATGTATATTGTTGTACCTTTTCCGGAGAGAGCATGTTGCAGATAATGGCGTCCAGTAGCTGTGGGGAGACGTCCTCACTCTCATCGATGACTGATGCCATCACCTCCACCATCGCCATCTGCACATGCAGTGCATGCTCAGGGCTGCACGCACACACAGATATCCGCAAACACACACACACACACCCACACACACACAGACACACGCGCACATAGGAGAAGGCGTCGGGAGGGGGAGCGCACAGGGGCGTGCAGACAGGAAAGGAGAAGACACTGACTGGACGCAAGAAATCGCAAGGGGCTGGCCAATGCAGCACCGCAAGCACAAGGGGGCTGCAGCGTGGGTGTACAAACGCACACAGGCAACACAGGCATGCACACACACATGCACGCACCACACGGCACACACGCATGTACATACACAAAACTAGCACAAGCATGGACGCACACGCGTGCACACACACACACACACACACACACACACACACACACACACACACACACACACACCATTGCACACGCATGCACACGCACACAAACAAGCACACACGCGCACACAGAGAGAGCCACACGCACCGCACGACGCGGAAGAAGGTCTCGAACATGTGCAGGATGAGGTCGGTGCACTCGAGGTCCAGCATGATGATGCACGTCTTCACCCGCGCCATCGACTCCAGAATCGCCACCCGCCGCGGGTACAGCGCGTTGCTCGTGTCCTCTAGGCCCTCGTACGTGCCCACCAGCAGTTCAAACACGCTCTGCAGGGAGAAGACGCATGGAGGGAGAAAGTGGTGGGAACGAACAAGAACGAGACAAACATCAGCTCAGCAGGAGTTGCTCGTGTCCTCTAGGCCCTCGTACGTGCCCACCAGCAGCTCAAACACGCTCTGCAGGGAGAAGACGCACGGAGGGGAAAGAGGAGAGGGAGTGCTCAGCCGTGAGGAGAAAGGCTATTGCCATGTCCCCTGAACCCCGTGAGTGCTCAGCCGCAGCTCAAACACACGCTGAGGGGAAAGCGGAGAGGGAGGAGCAAGGGAGGGGCACGGAGTAAGGGGGGCGACGAGGGAACAAGGACAGCAGGATAAGGAGTTGACAACAAAGGGACATGGGGAGGACGTCAGCAGAGGCGTGTACGATCAGCGAGGGAAACGCGCGTGAATAACGATAGGGTAGCGGGACGGGGGATAGGGGGGTTTATGGGCGGATGGCGGAGGTGGCACGAGAGAGCGGGGATGTGAATGAACGGGGTGCAAGAAAGCATATGTATACCAGCGCCGCATATAAGTCAAACGCGTAGTGTCACGACTCACACACACCCAACACAAGCGTTGCATGTTCCAACATGCAAAACGATCCATGACGGGGCCATTTTAGTCGCACATACAAGGTAACATCCAAGCAACGAACTACATTCAAAAAAACCTTTAAAATCGTGCAAAGCGATTATCTAGACGCCGTACAGAGAAGAACGGACGTTCAGTTCAGGGTAGAACTGGTGACGCGCTGAGCGGCCATAATTTTAGCCGCCACGCCTTGGTAATTATTCCTTTGCTTCAACTTCCCTCACACCTTCCCTCATACAATCACACCCCCAACGGAACCGCGTGCGCGCATAGCATACCCACGCACAGTCACATACCGACACAGTCCTGGGCGATACAGCAACAGTCAATCACAAGCGCCAAACGCGCGTCTTGTCGGAAGGTTAGGGAGCGAAGATGCATAGCACCGTTTGAGGCGCCTAGAAGAAAAAATAGTAAGGTGCTTCCGAATGTTAACTTTATTTTTTCAAAGTGGAACACACAGAAAAATACAGCCTCAAACTGTTTACCTTAAGCGGCGCGTCGTCGTACGGCGGGTCGGGCGCGAACACGCGCAGCACCTCGCTCACGCAGAACGCGAGGAGCACGCGCACGTCGCGGTCGCGATGGCGCATGAAGTTGGGCACCGCCAGCGCTTGCGCCAACGGGCGCAACGCCGACATCGTCGGCTCTGGCGCGGACTGCTGTAGCTCCTCCAGCACGCTCGCCGCGGACTAAAGGGGGGAAAGCGGGGGGGGGAGGGGGGGGGGGGGGGGGGGGATACGATATATCAAGAAGATATATCAAGAAGAACGGTGATAAGCGAAAGAGAGTGCGACCAACGAAACCAACGAAAACATTGGTGGTTGTCGTAAGCGTGGCGCATGAATCTTCTGAGCTCTCCTCGCGTTTCCAAATAACACGTGAAAGAAGCCGTAAGGACATTCTTGATGAGCCAAGAAGGATTACTAAGGATCACTATACTTTAAGGATTTGAAAGAATTACAAAAAGCTGCAAGTCTACGAAATTGTATATTCACAATAGCGCGACTTGTCGACAGGGGCTTGCTTCCAGCAGAACCCAATCAATTTTCAAATTACGTCTGCCTCTTAACAGAGCCAAAATACAGGAGAGAAGTGCAATCGACTCTCGACTCTCCTGATAAATCGGTGATTGCTGGCTAAGATATGCATGACCATCGAATCACTCGCATACGAATGATAGAAGATAAGCAGTAGTGTTTTATTAAGATAATTTTCCTCGCCAAAAAAATAAAAAAGGAAACAGGGATGTTAAAGAAACAGGCGGCGGGGGGAACGACGAATAATACGAAGCAAGAGAAACCGAGACCCATAAGAAGCGATGCACGAACGAATGCAAAATGTGGAATAACGGGAAGCAGGAGCGGAAATCTCACCTTAAGGGTCTTATTTAGTACGTCTTTAGACAGCGATGACGCGGACAACTTTTTGGTAATGTCATTTATTACGGCCACTTGATCTGGCTTACGAGCCATCTTCGCCGCAATCACGGTTAAACCGTGGCGAAGCGTGAAAGGCGTGGGTTACAGTTACGGCGACAAAAAGGAAATTTACGGCGGAAACAGGTGCCTAATCGCTCAGCAGGTAAGTGTACGAAGCGGATGGGAGGTTTAGGAAATTCTAGGAAGCTAGCTCCTTCGACGCATCGAGCAAGGTTTATCGAGGGAAACTCGTAATTAATGAGTCACCGATGAACGAGGAGCAGCGGAGGTGACGAGATCGGAAAGTGTTAATGGAAGAAAAGAGGTTAACACTATGAAAAATGGCGAAAGGAGAAAAAATCATTAGCTATGTGGAAAAGTATGATTCAGAAAATCTAACGCTGGCAATACGTTTATGCCTAAAGTATACGACAAGGAAGCCTACGTGCAGTATAATAAGCGGGAATAATTTCCAGGGAGACTAAATCAGTAGCCTGAGAATTTGTTGACAAAGCCGAAAAACGCAGCCATGGTTGCTGCTGCATCAGGGCTTGCACGCAGCAAAACAGAGCAATCCCAAGGCGCTCGACGATTGAACTGGAGCAGCAGCAGCACGAGTTGAGTTGATTGGGTTGGGAGCAAAATGTGTTCCCTAGGGCACGCACGCCCAGCACATTTGTCACGGGGAATTCCGGCTATCATTCTTCGTGGCACATGGTGGTTCCATACGGTGTAACACGGTTTACTGAGTTTCCCTGTCTAGTACCGTGAAGAAACGGATTAGACCGCAAAGAGTGTCCAACAGTCGCAAAAGTACTCAGCTCTGTCAGCAAGGCCCTCGCGAATTTGAGCACGGCGGAACTCGCCCAGAATTCTGCGCGCAGAAGCTCCCCCTGTACTACACATACAGAAGCCAGCCTGCCTGTGACACTGCAAGCCCCGCAAGCAAAGCAAGTCCATGTTGGGCTGGCTTGGCTGGGCACGGGAAATTGTACTGTATTTGACTCCGTGCGTTGCCGCGAATGGGTTTGATAAAGCTCAATACCTTTAAAAAGCTCCGACATACAGCAAAACCGTTTGAAACCATGAACCTGTACCAGGGTGAACTTCCGTGTTTCCGGAAGGAGATAGTACAGAGAGGCGCAATAAGTGGATGCTGCAGCCGGACTGGCGGAACCTTTGGGCGGGATTTTGCTGTGCCAGGGAAGACCAAAGATCAGATTGCTTCTGTCAGTGGCAGTACGTTGTCAATGGGTTCATTTGGGTTCAAAACTCCTGACCAACTTTCTACTGTGATAGTGAGTGTTATTAGTTGTTAATGAATAGAGTCCGCAAAAGTCAACACGGATAATTGATTACAATCACTTAGAAAACGATGAAGCAAAGCATTGATATAGATAATGGCCTGAAGAGGTTGGGTGTTAATCCGGGGTTGTAGAGTCCGAACGCGACGAGGGTTAACGATCGGGAGGCGAGATCGTTAGACATAGCCTGGAGTACTGAGAGCTGCAGTCGTACACGTACAATGAGACTCAGTAAGGAATTAGGAAAAAAAAATCACCATGAGCGAGCTAATTTATACCAATCTGAAGAAATAAGTGACATCCATAATCTAATTTGGCATCATAATAATGAATTAGTATGAAATCGGTTAAGATAGCACTAGATCGAAAAGAGATACACTGTGATGGAGAAAAAAAATGCTACATAATGAATCATAACGCGCAACAGAATGGGTTGTGCTGCGAAATGCTGACAACGAGGTCCAACTGATTTCGATGCGTCGGTTGACTCTACCATACATAGGTGGAGAAGGTATGGCAAAACATGGTGTGCAATGCAACGAGCGTCGATGTCAGTTACGACTAACATCGATCAAGGCCCGGAGCACAGTATTTCGAGCCAGTTGAAAAAAAGAAGCTTGACAGCCCCCAGTATCCCCTCCATCAAGAAGCCTTCCGTTTATGACAACATGTGCACATAGTTGCCGAGCACAAGGGTTCCGGATTTCTGGAGAGGCACTAAGCTTAACCAACCCTTCAAGATTGTACAATATGTCGAGAAGAAACACATAAGAATATTTGTGCATGTCCTTCAAGGCAGTCCACTCGGCAAATGAGGGCTAAGGGAAGGGTCGGCTGTTATGCTAGAGACAACTTGAGCCCTAGTGTGCAGAGATTCGGGCGACATAACATCAATAAGTCGTTGCAGACGACGACTCTATGCGATGCAAAGTTAAGTGGGAGACTTCACGTGCCTGAGCATGCTAGAGTATGAAATGGATTTTAACAAAGTGGTTGACATATGGCGCAGAAGCGAGAAGCGGTGGCCCACCAAAAAACAACATGGAAGGCGTATGAGGAGCAAATCAAACAGAATATGGTATAACAGGAGGAAGAGACAAAAAAGAATTGTAGTAGTAGCACCAGCAGCAACTGTGGATTTAGCGATGACGATGACTAGTATGAATAGTGGTGGGGTAGATAGTGAACATCGGCTTGCAAAATAGTTATGATAGTTTCAACTGCACGATAGTCGTTCACAAGAGCTTGTGCAGCATTGAAGAGTCACAAAGCATCTTGATTCACATCACAGCCCCCCCCCCTCCCCCTCCCCACACTCCCAACCACCCCCTCTTCCTAACCCCTTGTCGCCCTATACGAGATGAAAAGAACGCGGGGCGCATAGGGTCTCACGTCCATCACCCCTCCTAGCTCGTTCCAGAAGTCTGCCTTTCGAGAGCTCATAACGTTCACATAGTACTAGTCCAGTAGCCTTCTTTATCTACTCCTCTACTTTCAGCCATTGTAGCACACCCACTGGCTGTACACCAGCGAGACAAGAGGTGTGGCGGACTAAAACGTTATCGTCTTCCATCCTCTAGAGCCAACCCACCTTCTTACTGATGGTAAGCGCCACTCGGCGGTGCTTCGCAGTTAGGTTGCGTGGACTAGAGGCGCGGCATCGCATGATACCGAAGGCTTTGAATTGTCATAGAGGAGCTTGTCAGTCAGGAGGGCAAAACCCTGGGTAGGATTGTAGTTATGATCAGGGATCTTAGTATTAGACGCCTCATAGTAAGGCAATGGGACACCTTATCGTCAAGGGGTTAGAGCGGTTCTTGATGTTAAAGAAAAACAAGGAGACTAGAAGGGGCCATAGGAGGAGCAGGAGGAGCTGGCGATGCATGTGGAGCTGGTGATGTAGGGGGAGGCTGGCGATGTTATGAGACACTAGGCGGTGGGTGAGGGCGCCATGTGCCCCCTGATTTTTGTGCACAAGGTCTTGCCGTGGCCATCAGAATTTTGAAGCAGTGGAGCAAGACATACATCTCAATGTGGAATGGAAAGCCTTTTCCCGCTATACTTCACTATTCCGCACACAAGTGTGGGCTCCCCACCTGCGTCAAGGCAAAGATGGGCCAGCGACGGCTAAAGGTAAGCAAGTCGTTGTTTCATATGCACATTCCACGTACGATGAACTAAAGACCGCTTGGTCGCGTGTGTAGAGTGCAAGTGGCAGTGCTTGAGCTTCTGGAAGTTCGTTGGGAAGAACACGATAAAGCACGGGATTGGCAGTGAAATATGTTAAGCATGGACCAATGCCCACGTTTTTGTAATGTTGAACGACCGTGCCCTTCTCCACCGTGGTGAACGCACCGTGCACGTTCGAAGTGCAGGTTATGAAAAAGGGGTCACTGTCATACTTGGAGTGACGCCGAATGGAGAGAAGTTGCCGCCGATAATCATTTTCAAGCGTAAATGCTAAAACCATCCTCAACGTTTGTCATCCCACCCAGTAAGAAGCCGATAATCATTTTCAAGCATAAACGGTAAAATCATCCTCAACATCTGTCGTCCCACCCAGTAAGAAGCCACTTTATTGTTTCCAACTGCCACGCACATTAGCCTTAACCAGAATTCGTACTCCCACGTGTAGGCATCGTTGCCCGCGCTCAGGAGCGCTGATAAATGGACGCTAACATTGTAAGCGACTAGTGAAGCATGTGATTGTCCCCTTGGTCAAGCCCCGGCCCGGCATCACTCGGTTCAAGACCGTGCTGGTCCTGGACTCCTACCGCAGCTAAATAATGGAGGCCGTTATTAGGAATCTTTGCTAAAACAGCGTCGTGCCAGCGATCATTCCAGGCAGTTGCACGCCGTTGGTGCAATTGCGAAATGTGGGCATAAACCGCCTATTTAAGGCGGGTATGCACCGGTTCTACAACGACGCTGTTGCTATTGAACCACGAACGAAATGCACACCCCTTGTTCTACACACCTCGCTGCCCTTTGTGTATATTTGTGTTGCTCTATTATGGTTTATAAACTCTCCCTCTTGCAATTAATTTACTTCTTAGAAAAATTGAAGAAGCCATTCAGGAACATGACCCTGAGGTGGATTGCCCAGTCATGGACGGGTATACCTGAGCATGTTATTGTTAAGTTTTGCATGTTCATCTCTCTAAAATTGTACCAAACGCATAATAGGGAGCGTTGATCTCTTCAATTGAGAAACGGTAGTGATCTAAATTTTATTATTTTACTTGCACCTAGCTACCAGTAACGAATATTAATGTAATGGCAGTGCCCCTTGTCAGAGATGCACTGGAGATCCCCGATTGATCCTAGGGAAGGGTTACAGGCACGTTGGCCAAGGGGGTTATGGGCGCACTCACCCGCTACACAAGCAAGCCATTATATCGCAGTAGTTAGTGGCTGGGATTTGACACCCTTGAACCAATACAGGTCATTTCAGCACACCTAATATATTTGGAATTTCAACCCAAAATCATTTCCGAACTCTTATGCCGATCCTAGCGATTCAATCAGCAGCACTGCCCTGTTTGATCGGAAGCACGCTGCAATAGCGATAAATTATTCACGTGTATTGCCCTGTTGTGTGCATGGAAAAACCGTAAGACACCTCCACAGCGATACTGATGGGAAGGCAGAGGACCAAGGCAGATTATCACGAGTTGTACGAAAGAGGATGGCATGACAAAGTTGAATCAAGATAAATACGGAGCAATGTAAGCCATTCCCATAATGTCAGTTAATGTACAGTGCATTGTAATGATCCAATTGGGTGCGTGCTAGTAAGGAGCGTGACTACCTGACCTTTCCCCCATGGAGAGTGGGTGCTGTGTGGCCTCGAGTTGCTGGTTCGGAGCTTCGGGATTCCATCTCACAACTGACGCCCCTCACCTATCACCGACCCACGTGGAAGCTCGAACAGATGCTGCTGGGTAGGTTGCTCCTGGCCGATTGGCTGTAACGGTCGGCAGCACTCCCAGATTGAACCTCCGCCAACCAAGACTCCCCCCCACCCCCGTCCAGCAACCCCCTCCCCCCCAGTTTCGCAGATAAGCAAACTTCACCATCCCCCCTTTCCGCGTTACCCACTCCAGCCAGCCCGGATTGCAATTGTACAAGGGGACAGCATCACCAAAACAGATCAACCCACGCTAACACAAGGAGTTGTTTCTACCGGTAATATCCGCAGCCTTTATTTACGATGCGCCCAGTAGCGGCGTCGGCGGCGGCGGCGCGCGCAACATCCTCGCTCCACTCCGTCCTCCTCACGGCCAATCTTTGCGGCGTCGCGCTGCTCCTCCTCCTCCACCTGCGATCCGACGGCGGAGATCAGCGCGTGGCCGCGTCCAACGGTCAGCAGCAGGCGCTCGGCGCGCTGGATGCTCCGCAAGTGATGGCGGGGGAAGGGAACCGAGAGCTTTTGTTGGAAGCGGCGGAAGGAGCGGGGCAAGCCTGCGCGACATCTGCGCCGATAAACGCGGGGAATAAAGAGGTACTTGAAACACGAACGTTGATGCCAATTTATGGCCATTGACGAATTTTTGGCGGTACACTCCATCTCCTGGCCTCTCCTCTCCTCTCCCGTCCTCTCCGATCCTCTCCTCTCCCGTCCTCTCCCATCCTCTCCTATTGCCGACAAAACGCTGCGGTTGGCAAGTCTCCTTTTCCCACCGTCCCTCCTGCCTCCCTCTTCTCCCCCCCCCCCCCCCCCCCCCCCTTTTCTCTCTCTCCGTCCCCTTCCTCTTGGCAGCTGCTGCAGTGGTCGGAGCAGCAGTACCGTATCAACGTTGGGCGACGGAACGCTGCGGTTGGCAAGGTGCGTCCACGTGGCACAGAATGAATGAGCCAGAGGATTGGCTCATGCTAACCAGAGGTAATTCAGGTTAACAGGAAACCAGTTAGCTCACCAAATACCCACTTCATCAAGTGAGCAAGTAAACTAGTGAATCAGGTTACCAATTAACCCAAGTAACCCCATTTATTCAAATGGCTAGGTAAGCAGTTAATGTGTTGGCCAGGAAATCAGTTAATCAGGTAACAGGCAAGGAACGACAAGAACAGCAGTACCGCACGAATCTGAGGCTCTGGATGGGTGGGTGGGCGGATTGGTCAACGACTATGGGCCACTGAGTTAGCAGGTTAGAGGAGACAAGCCGGGCTGTGGTTCAGCAGGCCAGCAGGTAAGCAGAGTAGAATGTGTGGAATATGTTACCAGCAGCAGGTACGCGGGTGGGTGACTGGCTGCGGGTACCCTCACACGTATGTGGTGCTGTTGGTGAGTGTAGCAGTAAATGCGAGCGGAGAGGGTTGGGGAGGGAGAGGTGGGTAGGGAGGTTAGGGTTGAGTGTTTATGGGCGGGCGTGGGGCAGGGTGCATGGGTGGTTGCACGGGAGAGTTGAGTGCATGAGTGGTTGCACGGGAGAGTTGAGTGCATGGGCGGGTGTGTGTGTGAGCTCAGTGCTTTTTTCCGTTGAACCATATTCTTAACACGCATCAACTTTATCTTTTACACTCAACATCATCCATTACACTCAACCTTTTTCTTATATCGCAACCTGATCCTTCACATTCAACCCCATCTTTTACACACATCATTCCAATCCTTGAACCACCCCATCCCTCCCGCTGTTGCCCCCATGGTAGGATCCGGTAAAGTTCGTTATGGACTGGTTCAAGATGACTGAAGGACGGCCCTACAAAGCCCGAGCCGCATTCATGTTCGAGGTACAGTGCGGTGCAGTGCAGTGCATGCAGCAGTGACTTAAAAAAAATCCTTAAAAACTGATTCAAGATTCAGCAGCGTGTTATTACAGGAGGCAGTTTCAAGGGATCCGATGCTTTCTTTGCCCAGGTTCTGTGCAAGCTCTGTATCGGATCTCTTGAACTGTCTGTGACTTGTAACCTGTACCTGAGAGTGCCTCTCAGGTGCTCTGATGATCTGATCTGCCTTGCTTGCTGTAACTAATCACTCTTGTTACCACCTTTTGTACCCGTAAGCCAGCTCTTAGCTCAGTTTCTACTTCATGTGCTGCCAATCCAAGCCAACTGTGCGTTTTTCTCCTTGTTGACATCTTTCTCTAGTCGACGCTTTTGCCGAAACCTGCCCCAGGTGCATTCCTTGTTTGCTCTTAGGCGGAAACCTTCTATGACTTCCTTTACGACCCCAACCCCTTCCCACGCCGCACCCCCTTCCCGCACCGCACCCCAATCCCTTCCCACGCCCCCTCCCCACGCCACACTCCAATCGCACAAGAAGGTGTTTGCCGCGGCGTACCCCTGTCTCATGGAGGAGCGCCTTGGCACGTGGCTGGATGGTGGCAAGTGGGTGTACTGCCTTTTGAGTCGACTAAAAAACCCACCCCCACCCCCACCCCCACCCCCACCCCCACCCCACCCCACCAACAGGTATTTGCCCCGGCGTACCCCTGTCTCATGGAGGAGCGCCTTGGCACGTGGCTGGACGGTGGCAAGTGGGTGTGCCGCCCCTCTCTCCTCAACGCCTCCTCGGTTGTCTACAGGTGACTGTTATGCGCGTGCTGGATTGTTTTTCTTTTTAATATAATTATTATGAAACAGACACTCTTTATCCATTTTAATTTACCGGCTTCTCAGTGAACCCTTCTGGTTGTTGCGTTCTCGTAACCTTTCTCTTTGGATTTTGAGGGTAACCCTTTCCCCTCTCCCCTGTCGTTCAAGGAGGAACTTTTCAGCCGCTTCAAGGCACTCTTTCGACACGCCTCAGAGTCTCTGTCTCGCACTCTTTCGTGTCTCGCACTCTTTCGTGTCTCGCACTCTTTCATGCCTCGCGCTCTTTCGTGCCTCGCGCTCTTTCGTGCCTCGCGCTCTTTCGTGCCTCGCGCTCTTTCGTGCCTCGCGCTCTTTCGTGCCTGCCCTGCCCCCTCTCCTCCCCCCACCATCGTCTCCCCACGGCAGCATAGGGTCAGACGGTAAGGACTCATTTGAGGGGAAGAGTTTCAGCCGCTTCCAGTCACGCACGTCTCAGAATTCCCCGTCTTCTTCTCTCCCTCCCACTGTTTTGTGCCTGCCCTCTCTCCTCCCTCCCTCTCTCCTCCCTCCCTCTCTCCTCCCCCCCTCTCTCGTCCCAACATTGTCTGCCAACGTCAGCATAGGGTCAGACGGCAAGGACTCATTCGAGGAGGAGATTTTCAGCCGCTTCAAGTCACAAATCCATGTCTTTGACCACACGCTCACGCCGCGCAAAAAGGTGATGCTCGTTGTCTAAACCCCTCCCTCCCCCTGAGTTCGCCCCGAATCAACACCTTTCACCTTCCTCGCTGCCCGCTTCAGCCACTTCAAGTCACCGATCCATGTCCTTGACCTTACCTGGATCTGGTTTTGTGAGCCGGCGTGAGCACGGACCACACGCTCACGCCGCGCAAAAAGGTTCCGTGCTTTCACTTACCTTCCTTCCCCCCTGAACCGCCCTGATTCGGCCTGAACCCCCCCGAACCGCTCCAAGTCACGCATCCATGTGTTTGACCACTCCCTCCCGCCACGCAAGAATGCACCATCCCTGACCCGCTGTGATCAGCCCTTCAACCGCTCTGAACCGCAGCACACTGCACTGAACGGCCCTCCAACCGCCCTGTACCCACACGGTCGCACCTCCCTCCCATCTTCCAGCTCCATCCTCCCACCCGTGAAGCCTCTTCAAGTCACGCACGCGGCACGCATGTGCTTGCCCACACCCTCACACCACACCACACCACACCACACCACACCACACCACACCACTCCACACCACTCCACACCACACCACACCACACCACACCACACCACCACACTTGACACCACCAACACAAAGTGGCCTTTAGTTACCTCCTTACACCACTTAGTGGCATCAGCCTTGCCCTGAACTGCCACATAAGTACATGCTGTTCAACACACACAAACATGCCTGCACTCATACACACTCTCATGCATGCACACACACACACACCTGCCATCCACACGTATGCATGCCCTCACGCACATGTGCATACCTACACACGCACCAACATGCGCTTTCGCGCTTTCACATCCCCACGTGCGTGCATACACACTCACACGCATATTTGATGCACACATGCGCGTGTAGACACACACACACACGCACACACACACACACGCACGCACACACACACACACACACACACACACACACACACACACACACACACACACACACACACGTGCGCTCACAGGCCCACATGCACGCACCCGCACCCTGTATCGCCGGGCCAAGTTGGAGCGTACGAAGGCGTACAAATTACACGCTCGTGCAGCGCAGACACCCTTTATTATTGCCAGGGCATGGTGGAGCATAGGAAGGAGTACAAATTCCACCCCATCGCTTTGGATGAATTTCTTTTCTTCTGATATTTTTCGTTGCTTTTGAGAGTTTTAAAAAGGGGGGGGGGGGGCGAGAGTCTTACATAGAGAGGGAAAGAACATCTACTCACCTGCTCGCACCCTGTATTGCCAGGCCAAGGTGGAGCGTAAGAAGGCATACATGTTCCACCGTTTGGTCGCCTTACGCGTCCCCTCCCTCCCCCCACATGCCCCATACCATACCGCCAGGCCAAGGTGGAGCGCAAAAAGGCATACAAGTTCCACCCCGTCGGCCTCGCTGTCTCATCCAACGAGTCTGCTTCTCTCAGCAGCTTCAAGGTGTGCCTCGCTGCAAGGTGACTCGTTACAAGGCGAATTGTGACAAGGTAATTCGTTGCAAGGGGACTCGACGCAAGGTGACTTGTTACGAGGTGATTCCTTACAAGGTGATTCGTTGCAAGGTGACTCGTTGCCTCGTTACAAGGTGACTTGTTGCCTCGTTACGAGGTGACTTGTTGCAAGATGACAAGTTGCAAGGAGACTCGTTGCAAGGTGACTCGTTGCAAGGTGACTCGTTGGGTGGTACTGGTGATAGGATCAATAGCAATATGTTTTCTTACAATGGAACTTGCTTCAGAATCAATAGCAGGGAGCATGTCTTCATACTCAGCATGCCCGATCCTGACTCACTATGCCCGATTCTTGCTCACCATGCCTGATTTTCCCTCACCATGCCTTAGTTTACTCACCATTCCATTGTTTTGCACACCGTGACTTCCAATTCTCAACCTTGCTGCTTCCATGTGCCATAAGTCAAGGCCCTTGTTCTTCTCAGCCTGCTATTCTCGTTGTTGCAAGAGCTCGCAAATACAACACCATCCCGTCGATCGTTTTGAAGCTGCGCCTCAGAAACAGCGGCTTCCCTTTGCCCCTCTGTGCGTCTTCAGGACCTCACAACGATGCTAGGCAATTCCTTTGTGGACATATCCATGGCAGACTGCGCGTGGTGCAAATACAACTCCATCCCCCCGTTCCTTTTGAGGCTGCGCCTCAAAATCAGCCTGTGGTTGCCTCACTTTTCCTCCCAGTGCCCCCCTGTGCGTCTTCAGGATTTGAAACGATGCTAGGTCACTCTTTCGTGGACATATTCAAGGTGGATTGCGTGAGCTGTGAATACGTTATAAATCCAATCCATCCATCCTTTTTTAGGCGCCTCTAAAACAACCTTCGTTCTCTCCCCTGTGCTTCTTCAGGACCTTACAACGATGCTAGGTCACTCTTTCGTGGACATATTCAAGGTGGATTGCGAGAGCTGTGAATACGACGTCATTCCGTCCATCCTTGATGGTTACACCACGCCACCCTTTGGACAGGTGCTGCACTGCTGCTTAGAGAGTAATGGGAAATGGCATTCATAGGCATGCATGTATGCACACACACACCCTGCTCACTCATTCACTAACACACGCACGCATGTAAGGCGCACGTGCTGCGCGTGCGAGCACGCGCGCGCACACACACACACATGTACCTTATGCGTCTCGTATGTCTCAGGCGACCCTGGTCAGAGTCTCAGCTACTCAATTCAGGGTTATTGCCTGCCACCACCCCACAGCCCCTCCAGTACCCTCCTCTTAACCCCTGAGCTTCTTTCTTTCCCCCCATATAGATGTGCTTTTTCTGAACTGACAGGATCACACACCCTTTTGTTTGCCCCTTGTGCTCTTTTCTGTTCTCCAGCTGCTGATTGAGATTCATGATTTAGACCGATCAAATGCCGATCGTCTAACGAGATTTCTTCACAAGATCGAATTGCACGGTTACCGCATGTTCCACATTGAACTAAATTGGAGGCAGCTCATGTCCCTGGAAGCTGCATATATCCATGAGAGCTTGTGTTAGTGTTATGTTGAAGGACCGTATACTGTATTCCATGCTTCTTGTATTTTTATTGTTATGATGTAAGATGCGACCATGTGCACTTCTCAGTTCAAGTTTAGTATGCCTCCATGCAATTCCACCCTCAACTCTTCAGTCATGGGCTCAGTTTGAGTAAAAACTACTTGGTGGTCCAATTCTTAGAGCTATTGTATGAACTACACTGTTATGCAATACCTGTGGGAACAGGCCGTTAGCGTGGTGTAGAAAGCACCAGTGTTGAGGCAAATGTGGACATCCTAGCTGCAAAGCACAATCTTTTGAGTGGCTGAGAGAAAACCGGAAGCTACGTACAAGCATTACTGCTTTGCATAAATTGCTGATGCAGCGTCGGCGGGTATTGGTTCCTCAAGGGTGACTCTGACAGCATGCCCTTGACTGGCCACGTGTCTTTCTGTCGCGAGTAAGGACACGTCTAGTTGACTAGGAATTGGCGGGAAATCTTTGTGATGCCACAAGTGACCTCATGATGGTGGTCGTGGCTCGGTTCGTTGACACCTATTGCCATGGGTCGTTCCGAGGATGTGTTGTGTAGTGTAGGTGACAGCCGCATCTTGCGGACAGATCCTGGGAGGATATAACGTGTGAAACAAGAGTGGACACACCACGGCAACGGCGCGCTTACTCCCATGGATGTGCACTTTGCCAATTTACGTGGAGGCCATCACATTTGCCTGGACAGCACAGCAGAAGGCAGTGCGAGCAGTGGTTCCCCTTGATTGCGGCGAATATGACGCGACAGCCACGGCGTCGCAACAGTTTCATCGCCTGCCATTTTGTAACCAGTCGCTTCCACTTTGGGGCGTTGATCCCGCAATCTTGGTGCGACAAAGTATGCGCGTGCCACCCTCCCTGCATCTGTGAAAGTGAGATCGAGTCGCTGAATACAGAAAACATAATTTCCTTTTAGCTGCCCATGTAGCCACCGCGACCCCCTTTACCCAAACCCAGCACAGAAGGTTCACTTTCATGCTGCCCGTTGAACTCGCAGCTGCCGTCACTCAGCCCCCGATCTCGCGAATCCCATGCTCGCTGGATTCGAAGTTCTGGTTCTGATTGGCGATGCGCGTTTCAAGGCGAATCGCTTGCATCCTCCCGCCTGGTCGCAACGTTTCGCCGACAACATTCGTCCATTTCTCGTCTATCATCATTTGCAAGCTTTTATGCAACGCCATTGGCCTATTCTCAGCACATTTGAGCTTCGGCAGCACTCTGACTTGTAATCCCGCAATTTCGACCTGGAAGTCCGTGCCAATTCCGTCGCTCGAAACGTCGTGCGATTCGAGCTTCCGCCGCAGGGAGTCCCTGTCCAGTCGCCGCTCCTTCACGCCGTCGCATGCGACTACTTTGCGACGACCTTCCTCTCTCTTTCTCAATTGTGTGACTCGCACTAACTCGCTCCGCCCCCTCTTTTTCCTCCATACTCGGCCCTTTTCGCTTACTTCATCTTCATTTCTCTACGCCGTTCCTGAGAGGACCTAAGCTGGAATTTCGCCGTTGCTAGCGCCGCAGCACACCAACCAACCACCATCGGCGTCAAGCTGTGCTTGGATTAGAAAGCGTCATCTCTCATATTGACGTTTATTCCGCGAGTTGCTGCATCTGACTGCAATCCTTCCTCAGCTATCTCAGCTGAACCCTCACCGACAAGCACGTCGCGTCTAGTGGCCTCTCTCAGCCAGAGGACTCATCGTGCCTTTCGTGGTGTACGCGTTTATCGTCGGGGCCTTTAAAGGCGGGGTGCAACTTCTTAGGAACAGTAGCAGGACAAACATGGAGTGTGCGTAACGAGACCCTTATTGGATGAAAAAAATGGAATCTCGGAAAAGACAAACTTCTCGCCACAGAACTGCCTGGGACAACCAAGTTCCAAGCTATAATACTTCGAAGTTGAAGCTGATAGTTGGGCCACGGCTTTAAGTTCCTCGCTTGAGCTCTCGTCCACCCCAGAAAATCTCTGTCATTCGCAGCTTGGATCTTATCCTTTCATTCCTTCGCTTTCATCCAACCCGTTCCGAATCGGCCAATCATTCTAGTCTCATAGAGCCACCTCTCTCCGTGACTCTCTCTCACTCGTCTCCAGCCATGGCGCTCTCGCACTCAAGTATACTCAACCTCTTCCCCGCTACTAAATCATCCGACTCCGTCACTGGTGGTACATCATCAGCGGGATCCATACCATCCGGCCGACTACTACCTTCGTCCACCATCTCCTCTAGTCTTCGTCACGTGCTAACTCCCTCCCAATCCTTATCCTCTGCTTCGCACAATGCCGCCTCCTCGCTCTTCCCCTCGCCTCTGCACTCGTTTCACCACGTGTCGCTTCCGCGCACCACCACCGCCGGGGCTGCGCCGGCTGCGCTTTCCGCGCACCCGCGTGCCATGCTCCCACAAACCTCCCCGTTTCCTCAAGCCTCACGGGCGGCCTCCGCGTCGCCTGATCAAGTCGCACTCGCAGCGTCCGCGGCGCCGACAATCATTTTGCGTTCCGATAAAGACGCGCAGTCGTTTTCCAACGCACCGCAGCTTAAAGAGCGCAGCGCGCAGGTTCTTTCGGAGCTAAGGAAAGCATCCGCCGCTGTTGCGGTGTCCACCGCGTTTGCGCTTTCCGCGGGTTGCTGCGCGCCAGGCGCGGCGCTTGCGCTGGACCAACTCCCCCCTCCCGTTCCGCCTTCAGAGTATCACGTCGCCATTTCGACGACAGACAGCGCCGTAAAATCCGGTCTACTTGCTGACGAGTTTATCTCGCAACTAGAGTCTATACCTTCCGCTCCCGCACTTGCCACGTCAGCATCCCCAACCCCGGCGTCATTAACGCGCCAGGTTTCACTGACATCCGCGGGATCCTCGGGCAGAGTGGTCTCGCCCGAGGCGCAGGAGGAGGCGAAGGCAATGCTAGTGCGACAGCTGGAGGAGCAGGATAGGCTGAGAAACGCTGAAGAGCGGATGTGCGACGCGGTTCTGTCGCCCGTGAAGCAGGGCATCGCAGGTCCCGACTCCTCCTCGCCGGGTCGCTCGCGCTCCGTCACCTGGGCCGACTGCGCCGCGGACTTCCCGGCTGACGTCATGGTTCCGCTAACGCTCTCACCCGGCGGGAGCTTCAGCGGTGCAAGCGGAGACGGCGGAAGCGGGAGCGGAATGCGCAGCAGCAACGGGTCGATCGTGGCGGAGCCCGCAGTGTACATGGGACCGGTTGTGGGGGGCGCGGCGGCGGCTTCCGCCGCCATGGGCGGAGTTGCGACGGGCGGCCCGATCGCCGCAACTGAGGTGTCGTTCGCGGGAGCGGCGGCGGCGAGCCTGACCTTGGAAAGCGCCGCTGCTGCTGCCATCGCCAGCTCGTCTGGAGGTAAGCATCTCCTGTAATATGCGTAACATGTGATGTAACCCGCGTTTCGCAACTTCCGAACTCCCCCCCCCCTCTATTCGGCCCCCGTCCCCCCTTTTCGAGCCACTCGCCCGCTTCTTTCTGGGCCGTTGCCGCCTTTCCCCACTCACTCATTCCCCTTTTTACGCGCTGCTTTCCCCGCGCTTTCTCTCCCCGCAGGTCTTTCCGCGAAGCTCGCGGCGATCATGGGCCAATCGCTGCAGCATTTCGGCGTCGGCGGAGTGGCGGGCGCAGTGGGCGCAGCGGCGGTGTACCCCTTAGACACCATCAAGACGCGCATGCAGGCGCAGCGCAAGATCAAAGAGTCAGATTCGGATTCAGGCGACTCGGGGCGAGACGGCGCGATCGGCGCGAACGGCGCCCAATTCCACTCCGCGGCCGGATCGTCAACGTCAACGTTAGCGTCTGCGTCACCGTCACTGTCTCCGACGCAGACGCACGTGCAGTACCGCGACGAGTGGGACTGCTTCCTCCGCATGGTCCGCGAGGAGGGCCCCGCGGCTCTTTACAGCGGGCTCGGCGCGCAACTAGTCGGAATCGCGCCGGAAAAGGCGATCAAACTGACCGTTAACGAGGTCCTGTTGGCCATGCTCGAGTCGACTATCCCCGGAGCGCGTCTGTGGGTCCTCGAGATCATCGCGGGCGGCGGCGGCGGGTTCTGCCAAGTGGTGTTCACGAATCCCGTGGAAATCGTCAAAGTTCGCATGCAGGCGCGAAAAAAGCTCGCGACAGGGTCGTCCGCGTCGTCGAGTGATTCGGAAGCGGAGGTCGCGGTAACTTCCGCCTCCGCCGCCGCCGCCGGCGCGAGCGGAGCGGTAGTAGCGGAGCCGCAGCAGCAAAAAGGGAAGACGTCGTGGCAGGTGGTGCAGGAGCTGGGTATTCGCGGGTTGTACAGCGGCTCGAGCGTGACTCTAGCGCGCGACGTGCCGTCGACCGCGCTCTTCTTCGCGTGCTACGCGGCGCTGAAGCAGGTGATGCCCGATCAGACGTTCATCGACGGGTGCCTCGCCGCGGTCCCCGCCGCCTACCTCGTGACGCCTATGGACGTAGTTAAAACGCGCATGCAAATGGAGCCCGAGGAGGGGAAGGAGGCGTACCCGAACGCGTGGGTGTGCGTTAAGGAGATTGTCGAGGAGGAAGGGCTCGGCGCGCTGTTCAAGGGTGGCATTGCGCGCGTGCTGCGCATGAGCCCGCAGTTCGGAATCACGCTCATGCTGTACGACATGCTGTCGCAGTAACGCGGACGGGGTGTACTACTGTAGTCGTCATGCTCCTGCTCCTCGCCAACTGACTCTCCCCGATACAGTCCCATCCGATTAACGCCTCGCCTCTCCGAGTGTCCTCTTCACGCCAAACCATGAACCCGCCGTTCCGCCATCGCCACCACCCCCGCCACCATTCCGCCATCTTGACATTCCGTTACCGCCTCCACTTCGCCACCCCCGTAAACCCGCCACCCCCCCCATCTCCGCCACCGCACCCAATCCCCCGTTACCCACGCCACCTCCGCCACGCCACCATCTCCGCCACCCCCGCCACCCCAGCCTTCGTTGCCACCTATGCCATGCCCGCAGTCTCTCAAGTCCGCCCATCCGCAAACCTTCCAACCCATCCGTCACGCACCCAACCATCTCTCCACCGAACCATCTCTCCACCCACCATCCCCGCTATGAAGGGCTTTCTCCAGATGGTATGTACACAAACGGATCGCAGGACCTTGCCTCAAGCATCCCCCTGTGCAGTCTAGGTTCCATGCAAGTGCATACAGTCTCTCATACACACCCGCACCGGTATTATTCCTACCTTAGAGCTTTCAGCTTCTCATTTACAGCTGATTTGGCTCGCAAGGGTACCGGTGACTAAACAGCAGCAACCCAAGTGGCGGTGGTGGTGGTGATGGTGGTGCTGGGTGCAGCAGCAGCTGGTGCTGTTATCGGTCCAGTTTCTGCTTCTGGTTATATGCACCTGGAGCAACAAAATTCTTGTACACTACTCCGCCAGCATTCATTGGTTGTGATTGTATGGAGGGGTAGTTCTCGCTTAGGATGATTCGTTTTCCTTGTGTGATAGTAGGGCATGTGTTTCTGTCTCAACCTGTGATGTGCAGGTCTGATTAGGCCCATTTTACTTCTCCTGACACCTAGACATTTGTGTGATTCTTGCTTGATATGGGTATGTTTTTAACCAAGAAGATTCGGACCGGACTGTGATGGGCAGAGTAGCTCAATGCCGTACTCATTGCCAAGATGCATCCGCCACCATCAGGATCAGAATTGTACATGTATGTTTGGAGTTGTTATGCTAGTGAAAAAGGAACATAGCAGGTATGCATCCTTTCCCTAGCATTTCCTTGTCAATATTCTTATTTATCTCAACAAAGCTGCATAATTCCACGTTCGGACACCCGAAACACCCAGTATGTCTCTTCTTCCGCGCGCGTCTACCGATGCAACATCACCCCAAGAAGATACCGTATGACCATGACCAGAATCCATGCCCAGAAGAGATAGCTGCGCCCTGTACGGTTTGAAAAAGCAAGTATCCCGTCAACTTAAGAAATCTGCCTGGCACATCAGGACTCCCTCCCTACCCTGGTAGCGTACTTGTGCGTGAGATCCAAGATCAGGAACTCGGGGGCCAGCTGGAGGAGTGAGCCTTGTTTAGCTCATACCGATAAGTACCATACCGGTATTGTATGTCGATGCCCTATCAGATTCAAACAAGCAATTAAACAATGGGCACTACATCTCCCTTACAAGCAATATAAATACAGGCGTGTATTGTCTGTTTGTATCCCCATCCATGCCCCATGCTGCTGGTGCCACTGGGCTAAGTCTGCTGCAAGCAACAACTCCCAGAAAAGCCGGGGGCAGAGCTGGGAGAGCAATGCAGAGAGCACTACCGGTATGACAGTTGAGAGAGTGTGGTACTCCCTGTTCTCATCACAACGCCCTGTACTGCTCATGCCACTGGGCAAAGTCAGCTGCAATGCCTCCCAGAAAGGCTAGGCAGAGCTGGGATAGCAAAGCCAAGAGCACTATGACAAGTCGGGAATAAAGTGCATTCCCGATCTCATCACTACGAGCACTGTTCTCATCTAACCACAGCGCCCGCTGCGGCTGGCGCCATTGGGCAAGGTCAGCTGCAACGTCTCCCAGACAGGGGCAGAGCAGGGATAGCAAAGCCAAGAGCACTATGACAAGTCAAGATAAAGCGCATTTTCTGTTCTCATCTCATCACAGCTCTTGATGCTGCTGGCGCCACTGGGCAAGGTCAGCTGCAACGTCGTTCAGGAAGGCTGGGCAGAGCTGGGAGAGCAGAGCCGAGAGCATTCTGATAGACGAGAACAGGGATTTGGGTTGAGGGATGAAGGGAAGGAGAAGGAGGTTTAGGGGTGCACAATTTTTTGGGATGGATAGGACAGGAGGAGCAGGCTGACAGAAAACAGATAGAAGAGTTGGAGAAAAGTCAAGCCCTGAGGCAATAAGAGAACTAAGGAAAGGAAGGAGTGCTGGGTAATCTCGGCGTTCGACTCACGAGGGTGGTGACACGGAGAAAGGAAGAGAGCTCCGTGGCAAGACGAAGGGGCAAATGGTGCATGAAGAGCATGCTAACACAGCGAAGAGTGAGCATAAATAGTATGTTAACACAGCAAAGAGTATGCATGAAAAAGGAGTCAGCAAGATACGAGAGAGAATGAGGGCATACGAGGGTGTTGGGTTGCCTGTTTAAAAAAGAAGACATGACAGTGGGCGAAAGGGAGTGGAGCTGTAAAGAGATAGCTTCTGCTGGGAGGTCAGGAAGATAGCAGGTCCAAGGGATGTTGAGGATAAACTGAAAGGAGAGGCTTACTTGTTCCCTGGTTTCTCAACAGCAGAAAGCGGGAGGAGAGTGAAGGGTAGAGTGTAGACCTGCAGAGCAGAAAGAGATTTGGTCAGGGACGAGCAGAGAGGAGAGAGGAGAGAGGAGAGAGGAGAGAGGAGAGAGGAGAGAGGAGGAAAGGAGAGGAAAGGAGAGGACGGGAGTTTATACAGGTGCCTTTATTGTCGCTCACATGTCCCCTCTTCCCCTCCCCTCTCCCCTCTTCCCCTCCCCTCTCCCTTCTCCTCCTCCCTCTCCCCTCTCCCTTCTCCTCTCTCTACATCATCCCTCTCCACAGCCTGCCCCCCTGCTTCCCACACTTTCCCCAATGTAACTTCCCCACTTTACCCAATGTAACTTCCCCACTTTACCCAATGTAACTTCCCCACTTTACCCAATGTAACTTCCCCACTTTACCCAATGTAACTTCCCCACTTTACCCAATGTAACTTCCCCACTTTACCCAATGTAACTTCCCCACTTTACCCAATGTAACTTCCCCACTTTACCCAATGTAACTTCCCCACTTTACCCAATGTAACTTCCCCACTTTACCCAATGTAACTTCCCCACTTTACCCAATGTAACTTCCCCACTTTACCCAACCCTGTGCACCGTCCCTCCACGCACTCCCCCCTCCGATTTCCCTTCCCCCGGCCCCCATCCCTCCCCAAACCCTCCAACGACACTTGGATCTCAGAGCTCATAGAGAGCACCACGTGGGCCCCACTCCACCCCACCCCACCCCACCCCACCCCACCCGACCCATCCCCACCCCACCCTTACCACCCCCCCAACACACCTCCAATGACACTCGGATCTCTGAGCTCATAGAGAGAACCACGTGGCCCTCCTCTTGCTGACATGGCTGCCACGTCATCACGTTCTTGAGGTAACCTGTAGCAGAGGCGAGGAGAAGGAGACTGTTAAGAAAGAGCTGTGGCAGTAGCAGCAGCAGCAGCAGCAGTAGCAGACCAGCAGCAGCAGACCAGCAGCAGCAGACCAGCAGCAGCAGACCAGCAGCAGCAGACCAGCAGCAGCAGACCAGCAGCAGCAGACCAGCAGCAGCAGACCAGCAGCAGCAGACCAGCAGCGGCAGACCAGCAGCAGCAGCCGCAATGAATATATAAACTCAGAAGCACACATACACAGACAAATATATATGCAGAAAATAAAGATGATGTATATAGAACAAGAGATGCGTTTCTTAAGGTATTTATGGGAGAGGGAATATGATGAGGAAACTGCGAAAGCAGGGTTAGATTGAAGGAGCATGATCGACAACTGGCAACAGAATCAACAACTGTCCAAACGTCAGCAACACTAATTCCCCTACCACCCCCCTGCAATCTCTTCTCAACATCCATGCCCCCCTCTCTACTCCCCCACCCCCCCCCTCTCTTCCACTCCAACATCTCACGCTCTCTCACACTTGCGACTAAGAAGCACACACCTTCAAACACTCGGTTCTGGTTGCCCTGGCTAGATGTCCCCAGCTGTGAATCCAAGGCGCAGAGGCCGGGAGAAGCGAGGTGGGGAGGGGTGTGAGATGGAATGAGGGGAAAAAGAACAGGAAGGATAGAGGGAAGGAGGAAGAGCACAGGGACAGAGGGAGGTGACGCATCACGAGCTACTGCTTATGGCTCTACTGTCATAGAGGGAAACATATGTTTCATATGTTACAAATGTTTCATATGTTTCATATGTTTTATATGTTTCAAATGACTAGAAGGTATGGCTCAACTCAGTACTCACTTGACACGAGAGCATTTCCACAGTACACGTGTCATGAGAGGATGACACGTGGAGGTCCATGATTGGCTGCACGGAGATGCTGAAGAGCTCTAGTGGATGCAGGTAACACCTGGTACGGGGATGGTGGAGCATGGTAGGATAGCCATGGTAAGACAGGCTTGGCATGGTAGGACAGACATGGAAGGACAGGCATGGAAGGATAGGCATGGAAGGATAGGCATGGAAGGATAGGCATGGAAGAATAGGCATGGTAAGAGCTGGAAAGTTTTCACGAAGTGAGTAAGTGTATTTTTCAAAGAAAAACTGGTCATGAAACGAAATTGCACAGAGTGCGAAGGTGAATGGATGTAGGTGAATGTACCTGAACAGATTCGCTGACACAGGCTCCAACTGCCACATGATGGGGCGATGGGTATGGGCACAGGGATGGAAGTGAGATGAGTCGAGTTTTGAGTCGACTCATCACATGGGGCGATGGTTATGGGCTCAGGGATGGAAGTGAGATGGGGATGTATGCGTACGAATGTGCATGCGCAGGAGCCGAGCACACAGGCAGACCGGCAGGCAGGCCTATGTAAACAGGCAGGGTGGTAATCAGGCAGGGTGGTAAACAGGCAGGGTG